TATCTCAGTAAAACATTTACTGATAGTGAGCGGAAGTATTCCACCACTGAAAAAGAGTGTGCCTGCAATTCTGTATGGAATAAAAAAACTGAAAGGGTATATAGATGGGCAGACTAAATTTTCAATTCAAACGGACCATAATCCCCTAGTATGGCTAAAAAATAATGCAGGTAGAAATGGTCGATTATTACGCTGGGCCTTAGCCTTGCAATCTTATAATTTTACGATACATCATAAAAAGGGAAGTGACAACTTAAATGTAGACTGCTTAAGTAGAAACTCTGTACATGCCAGTTAAATAGACTAGTTATCATTTCTTTTAAGTTGTCTTGTTATTTGATTATGTATATTGTATTTTTTTTTTTAAATTCATACTATATAGTAAATTGTTAGCTTTATTCTTACAGAGAAAACTTTTTGTTTTGGTTTTTCATATATTGTATATGTATTGTTATATGTGTTTTTTATGATGGCCTGGTTATGAGAGTGGAGAGCCTTTGTAACAGTGTGGTTTAAAATTAACTGGTAAAATGTTGAACAATCTGTATTGAAACCATAAACTGTGAAAGTTTACTTCTCCTGTGTCCAGAGAAACAAAAACTGGAGGCGGAAGGTGTTTGTTTGTAGCGAACGCCTGCCTGAACTTGTATTTTATCCGTAGGAACTTAAAAAAAGAGTTTTTGTTTCCTCTGTGTCCGAGGAAAACAAAATCTGGAGGCGGAAGGAGTTAGTCTGTAAAGAACGCTCCTGAACTCTCTACTAGAAAGACCTATGATGCTCTGACTAGAGAGAACGTCAGCAAATCCTCACACTGACGAGTACTATAATTCATTTTAATTCATATTTTTAAAGAACTGTGAATGGCAACGACTTGAACTGAGAATTACGCATGCGTAAAGAGATGAGATTTCTGTGAGACGCCTGTCAGTGAGAGAAGAGTTTGGGAAGCTCCGCCAGCGAGCTGAGGTGTGGAGACTAAATTTGTCCAGTGATGACGAGTGCTATCTTCGTTAACGTCTCTGATCGTGTCACCAACTCGGATATGTACTCAAGTTTTTCTAAATGTATTAATTAAATGTTGTATCTGTGTAATGTTGTGTAATTAAAGTCATGCATCACCAATACCAGTGTTGATTCCGTTTCCACTGAAGCATCCACGACGTCACAAGGAATTACAAATAAAGAGCAAAACAAATATACATTAAAGCAAATTGTCATTTAAAAAACACTCAAAAATTGGGTGGTCCCCGATTATGCTAAACTTTTAATACAAAAAAAGAAAAGAAAAGAAAAACTTTTCATACAGATTTCTATAACCAATAAAATCTGATCTGAACTTGAAACAGCTAAAAACTGAAAACCTATTTGAAACAAAAATGGAAAAAAAAAAAAAAAAAAAAAAAAAAAAAAAAAAAAAAACGCAAACTTGCTGAATTCTTAAGAGAACCTTCTTAACGTAAACTAATTGAATGCTTAAAATGACCAAAGTGTGTTCCTTGCAAAGAAATCAGAATTCAAAGCTGCTCTGGAGAAGCAAAAATTTGTGTAGTTCTTGGAAAAAATATGCGATAAGGTTCAAGGTGTCTGGTAGCAAAAGTATTTTAACATGCGTTCAAAATGCCCTATTCTGTTAAACTATGTGTGTGAGGGTGTGGTCTGTAAAAATTATTACCGATGAGGAGGGTAATCGTCAACTCCAAAATGCCGGCGTAAGAAACTTCTAAAAGATGCTGTCCTCTGTAAAATCTTAAAACGTGAAAATAGTTGAGGAAAAGGAAAAATATAGGTTATAAAAGATAAAAAAAGTCTTCACATAATCGGGGTACAATAAGTCTTTGAAACTAGAAGACCCATTTTTTTTAGTAAAAGCAAGATTTACAAAACTTACAAAATAGTAAAAAGAAAGTACAGAAATAGTAAAAGTAATTTAAAGAGAAATTTAATAATTATAGGGTTCTATCTTTGTACATATTTACATTAAATTTCTTATTATAGTCATCCAACTATTACCTCCGATTAGGGTTTAAGTAATAATTATCATATCACTTTAGATGAGAAATTTAAAGTAGTAGTTAATACCAGCTTTCTTTAAAGATATACAAATTTTGAATAGAGGTGCTTTATTCTCTGAGAGAATGTTGATTAAGTTAGTGATTTCTTCTTGTACGTATTTGACATTGTCGCAAATATTTTTGATTCTAAGGAGCTGAGTGTTAGAAGGTATTTCTCCCACCTTCTTGGCATGTCTTCGTGGTGCGGTGGTCTGCATGCTCAGCGCATAATTGAGACGTCCATGGTTCGATTCCCGGCAAAGGCATTGCAGATTTTTCATCTTGCCTGCTTCCAACAAATACCTAATGTCTCTATAATATATGCATTAAGTATTACTCTTTTGGAGATATTGGAATGCCAATGGATGAGTTTTATAGCAGGGAAATCAAAATCTCTTCTTTTGTCATAAAATTTAATACCTTTAAAATTGATAATTTGGAAATCTAGGTTATTATTATCTCCTTGTTGAAAGTTAGTTTTATTGAGCTTCAAACACAAAGTTTAAATGTGATCTTAGTCTATTTGATTGAAATTGTTAATTGCAATAATATCACCCATGTACCTGTAAATGTTAAGAGTAATATGAGTTAAGAGTAAGTTGTATTTGAGCTAATTGTTGTTAGAAATGAAATTCCTTGGTGAAAAGTTACAAATCGCTGAACTAGTGTTTGTTCTGATCAGGATACCGTTGATTTGTTTAAAAAAGGCATCATTAAATGCAATGCAGTTATTACTGTAAATATGTTTTTAATATACCTGTCATTCTTCTTTGGAAATATTATTAATAATTTGTGGAAATAAATCTGGTAAAGTTAAAAGATTGTCAAAGACTTATTGTAAAGGAAGAATCACGTATAAATTCTCAAAGTCATAACAGAAAATATTTTTAATCTTTAAAGTATGAAGTGCTTCTAGTATCAGTATGCTATTACTTATTATCCAGTTGAAATTGTGGTCTTGCATCTGTGCATCTTTAGTAAAATATAGAACTTTTTAAAGTATTTTAATAAAACGGTAGTCTATTTGTTTCATGCAATTTCTGGTCCCATTAGCTATAAGTCGAAAATTGACCGGTGTTTTGCGAAATTTAGGCAATGCATAAAGGTTGGAAAATTTGCTGTAAAATTTATTCATAGTTATTTTAAGTCTTCGATGAATTGCCGTGAAACATCTTTGCAGGATATTCGTCATAGTTTTAATTTACGATATATAACTAACTACGCTATGGATTTCTTTTTTAATCAGATTATAGTAGAAAGCTTTTCAAATAACACTAAAATTGTTACTGGCTTAGTCCATTTTCGTAATTGTGAAAAGATACTTTAAAATTTTAACTTTTTTGTCTATATCTTGCTTATTATATGTACTATTTAGCACTTGTGCTTACGTATGTAATCGACTTTTCTGAAGCTTTAATTCATTTTCCCCTCATGAGTTCTGAATTGGAGTTTCAGTAAAGGCAGATTAATTTTTATAATTTGTATACTTTTATAATATTTTCCCTTTCAAATTTTTATTTTTTGAGTTTGTTCTACCATTAATTGCTATTTTAATTTTGATTTGTTTAGATAATGTGTTACACATCTTAATTGTTCTAATAATGTTCAACAATATTAATAATATTGTTGAGGAATTGCCTTGCTTTGATTCCAATTTAATATTAACTTTAGACGCTTTAAATTTAATTTTATATATATGTGCGTGTAATGAAAGCAGAACATATTGCCAGTTACCTTACAAGAGGAACGGAAGCCTTTCCAAGTACTGCTCAAATATGTGTAAGATAAAAAATATAAAAGCAAACTTCTAAATTTAATTGACTATATCCTCTTTTATCTTTTATTTAATTTGAGGATTTCATCTCTCTGTCATAGAAATAGTGCCATAAGTCTAAACTGTGTCATACAAATTAATCATGCGATCTTACATAACACTTAATGCACATACCACTTGCCCAATCAAAATAATTGTAAACCAGAACTAACACAAACTGAAACGTTTCTTTAACCCTCCCTTCTTCCTCTGCATTATTACTGCGACATTCTCTCTCTTTTCACTTAAGCTTTCATGCTGTTAAGACGCTTTTCTGCAATCATTTATGTGTTGCTATGATTGTTTCTACCAGTATAGTATCAAAATTGTCAATGTTCTGGAAGTGGGCACGATTGGAGTGCCAAGTGAATTGTGGCCACCAATGTGGAATTTTAATAAATATGGAAATGAATTGTGAAATTGGCCAAGTGAATTGTGGCCACCACCAATTTTAATAATTATGAAATTTAATCTGGCTCGACTGTTTCTTCTTCAAAATGGATAGATGTTCTAAGCATTAAGTATCTATGCCATCAGCATTTCTACACATCTACATCTCGGTGATCTACATCAGTGCTCCCAAATTTGTGTTACTATTACATATATATGTATGTGTGTGATATTTTAATGCATAGTCATGTTGGCAGAGTGGCAAGATGGGAAGAAGATGTTAATACCAAACCAAGTTCTTTTAATTATTTAGGTAATTATTAGGTATTTAGATTCTGCTAATTATTAGAATAATTCTACATAGACAATATACTTTATTATAAACAATTACAATAATTTCTTGTATACATAAGTTAATGCAGGCGATATCATTTTAGACGAACAAGCAAAGCAGTGGGGATATGTTAGCAGTGGCGAAGCTAAGAAAAGAATAACACAGTTAACTCACCAGCGGTATACATACCAAAGCAGATGCAATTGTAGAGACAAGATATGACTTGTTAATTTTAGTTTTAGTTACCTCTTTCATGTTATATACCATGGAAAGAGCTCGAATTTGGGAGAACAGACGAATTCAGGGAAAGAGTACCCAATTTAGAACAGCTAATTTTGAGGTCGCCAATTATTCTTAAAGCAGTCATCGCATTTTGTTATATCTTATATATATAACCTTAAAATACACTTACGCTAAAAAGCTCGGTCTCCCAGATGGTGAGGATGGCTCTGACATGGAGGGAATTTTTCCATTCTTTACGGAGTCAGGTCTATGAACTTCAATGACCTACCAAAAAAAAAAAAAAAAAAAAAAAAAAAAAAAGATACAACAATTCAAAACAAAATTGCAAATATACTATTTCAGATATAGTATAACACATTACTTATAAAATATATAAGAAATAAAAGAATTTAGTATTTCATTTAAATTACCTTCTGTTTTATATAATTAATGAGTTGCTCAGCAAGTTTTGCTACATCAGGATATGGATCACTGGATAAAGAAATTAATGTTTTCCATATGTTTCCAAAAACCGATGCATATCCTAAGCTGGAACTTGTTGTATAAGGACTGTGAACGTTCGATGCTATGCTACTAATAGACGTGCTAGAGCTCACTCTGCGTAGTCGTTCCAAAGCCATTGCACTACTATCTCCGGCATAATTTACATCTAGTGTATCTATAAAAGCATATTAATAATACAAAAAATATTAAATCTTGAATAACATTAATAATCACATATCTAACTTTTACAAACATGACATTTCTTTCTTCAATATTAAACAATTCTTCCAACAAAAGTACCAAATAAAATTTAATATTCATATAATCTCAATTATAGCATAGGACTACAATCAGAAATCTCAAAATCTTAATATTAATGGCTATCCGCCACTTATTACTAAGATATAAATACTATTTACCTTTTAATAAATCTCTCTGCCATTTTTATGACTCATAATGAAAAACAACATCAGCTGACCAATCTTAGACAAATTAAAAAAAAAAAAATTATGCAAAATTCTTTGTCAAGATATGTAATGAATGACATTAGCAATATTGGTACTTATAACAAATGACATTTAGCAGTATTATCTGCTACCAGATGCAGATTTAAATGGCATGGAACATCAGAAATTCACTATTGTTTGTACAGGTTTAATTCACATTAGCCATTAAGCTTCTCCCAAAATTTGATGGATAATCCCCCCCCAACAAACAATCCATGTATCTCTTCTCTTTCTCTCTCACCAAAACACTCAAGAAGACTTTTGGCTCACAATGTATTTTGACTGCCCCTATGCCACACAGATATTATAAATTTGAAAACATCCACAGTTTTTCTGGGATTCGGTCCGAGCCCAACAATACTTATCTGCCACGAGAAACTAGTACCCAAATTGACATAAAAATTACCTCGGTTCCTAAAAAAGTTATTTACTACCAGAAACTCTGTCGATGTCAATTTGTGTACTAGTTGCTTTATCAACTGTAAATATACCTCCCACCTTACAATTTTTTCCTTCCCTTATCTAGCTATAAAATAGCTTCAAATCAAGTCTATTTCATTATTTAGTAAATCGCCCAAACATGGAAAAAATAGAAAATTCATTAAAGTTAATATAGTAAGACTCATCATTTGCTTCAGAATAATGTGGGGGTTAATGGCAGGGTTGTAACAAGAAGAAAAATATTTATAAGTAAATTATCACCACTTGGGTGTGAACTGAAATTCCAGAAAGCGGACAACACATAAATATCAAATTTTTTTCCTAATTGCAACTGTAGTAGAAATGTCCATGAAAAAAACTGATTTGATATACCTATTTACGTGTGTATTTCACTCTCTTTTAGACTAATTTTAATGTACGATACTTTTTATTGTATGAGAAGAAAAAATTATGCAAATAATTGAATTTTCAAAGGAATTTTAGGATGCAATCACATTAAGTACAAAACAATAACAAGTATTCATGAATAAACAAATTACTCATAGTTATGAAGCTATGAATGAAGCATTCCAATAAAATTATTAATATTACACTATTTAAAATTGATCTTCCTTTCTACTTCTTCCTGTATTTTGAATCTCATTTAATCTTGCTGTTTCCACAGCTAATCCATAGGCTTTAAAGAATTTAATACTGTTAGAAGTGCTATCTGTGCCATTTGCTACAGCTTGCATATCATCAATCATCATTATCATCTTCATAATCATTCATTCAGTCTTCCTCCATGAGTGATTTTTAAAACTATTGAGAACATTGGACTAAAGTCCACACATCCAAATCAATTAACAAAATTAAAACAATCACTACATTGGCAAACCATTTTAAAATTTAGGGCAATTCGTTTCCTGAATATCTTGAGTAAGAGGAAAATCACATGAATACTTAAGACAATAGTAAGAAACTTTTGCTTAATAGCTAATAGCTTAATAGCTTAATAGCTTAATAGCTACCGGGTTGGGTTGTGTGTGTAAATATGGATTAAAAATTAGACATAATATATGTTAGAAGTCTTGTTATAATTAAAAAATGCAAATTCAAAAAGAACATGTATGTCACTTTACAATTGTTAATCAATATATGATTTTAATTTTAAAGATAAAATTTAAAAATTACACTAAATACTGACTGGCAAACCACCTATGAAAATTGGTTAACTTGTGAACCTCAACAGAGAACAGAAGAAAAATTTTATACTGCATGCGATGGCAGTATTACTCTACACTGATACAAAAAAACAGTGTGTAATACAGTAAACAGAGCAATAAATACTTATATTAAAAAGACATTATACAGTTTAAGACCATAAATATTATTTTTATTATGACTAACTATAAATTTGTAACTTACTAGACCCTGGAGATCCAGAAAGAGGTATTTTTAGGCGGTCACGAGAAGCAACTTTCCGCATGCCAAGAGGTGATGGAACCTCTAAAAAGGAGTAGAAAAAATGTTAAAATATAAAGCAAACTTACACTAAACTTTAAAGTAGAAATACCTCTGCAGCAATTAACTCACAATGGAAACTATCAAACTTCCGAACAGTAATCACCATGAAACTTTCAGATATGATCAAGCTTGTGAATAAAACTACAGGTGTAAAGTGCGGCATTCTGCAACTGCCTCAACTTCCAGAACAGATTATATAAGGTGGCTCGTACCTGCAGTGAGCAACATTATGCAGTTGCGAGGTTTCAAGATATTCTATTGTTAAGGAGTTCCACGTTATGTACCTTTTTTAATTTGATGAATATACGTTAGTAAATTGAAGCCACTTTATGCTCAGTTGTACTATGAATCAAGGGATTATATTTTACCACACTTTACCTCGATGTTGTGTTGTATCTTCAGGCAATTGATGAGCCACTTTATGCTCAGTTGTACTATGAATCAAGGGATTATATTTTACCACACTTTACCTCGATGTTGTGTTGTATCTTCAGGCAATTGATGCTAAGTAATTTCGTTGCTCTGACAGGGTAAGCAACTTCTGTACAAAATACTTGTCAATGCCAACTGCAATCGTATGCCTAATGTACTTATATGTTACCCCCATCATCAATATCTGCATGACAACCTGAAACTTAGAAGCCATTTGGCTCACTACACAGTACGGTGCTACTTTGATATACATAAGTTTTAAAATACATCCTGTTTCTACATTAAAATATTTCTTTAGTATACAGCACTTATTCGGATGCAAACAAAGATCAGGGATGTTAGTTAGAGCATGTTGCAAAACTGTATTTAATGTGGACAGCAGAAAAAACAGTATCATGTGCAGTGCTTCATTTATGTATAACACATATTTCATACACTGCATTTAAATTTTAGCATTAAACAGCATTATAATAATAATTGTATAATAGTATTGTATAATAATAACAATAGGACTTTTTTTATACAAAAAAATTCATCATTTTCCCTCTATTTCTTACTGGAAAACTTCACTTGGTATAAGCCTAAGGATATGGAATAGATTAATGATATATACTCTGTATATGTTTTAATAAAAATTGGTATTTGGTACCAATCAAACATGCTCATGCTCTGTAAACACTACTGAAAAAGGCATTCCTGGCAGTTGGCAAGGCATATGACATGCAAGCCAACTGCTAGGAATGTACTTATATAGTAGTACGACATCAGAACTCACACATACACTATGTTCTCAAATATACAGTTGCAAATACTGTAAGAACACATGTGAATTTATATGCTCTGCTCTAGGAGCTGTGGGTTATTGCAAAATGCTTAGGAGCTGTGGGTTATTGCAAAATGCTCTGCTCTAGGAGCTGTGGGTTATTGCAAAATGCTCTGCACCTGTTGTTTTAATCACATGCCTGAAAGTATCACAGCAATTACCATCAGAAAGTCTGATAGCTTTCTGTGTCAGCAACTAAATTAGTTAAAAACTAGTACATCTGAACTAGGATATACACTTGCAAAAATTAACTTTGCAAATATTCTCAAACTAATCACTTCCACATCATAATATTGCCACTTTTGGTCTTTGCGTCATTTAATAATCAAAAATTACCATAAAATTTCAGCATATTTTTCAAATTAAAAAAATATTTTTTTATAAAAATAAAAAATCTGAAAGAGACACCACATGATTTGATTGGCGTGCACTTCCTTGTAAGCCTATTAAATTATGTACACTTTTTTGCTGCACTTCATTTAAACATATTTCCTCAAATCATTCTAACTAATTAACCGATCCCTTAAGGCAACTTGAAAACAACATAAGAAAATGCAAATTTTAAAATTCAATATCCCAGTCAATTTTTTTTTGTATGGGAGTCAAATTTCTTGTATTTTTATTTTTTCACAATGAGTATAAAACTTTCCCAAATGTATGTACAGGAAATGAAAGAATGCAATAAAAGTTAGATTTCACCATTTGTTCAAATTATTTATTTTTACTTTAAAACTGCCAAAACATGATTACTGTATACGCCCGTGTAATGTCCGCACTCATGTAATGTCTGCATCCCAACTTTACAGATAAAATTTACGTAAAAAAAAAGTGACACGCACAATGTCCACACCCCCAAAATTAAAGAATTTCTTCCTTTAAAATATCTTTTCTTAACATCGCCTTTTCCCCTTCAGTCAATAAACATCTTTAAAGAAAGAATATGCATTTGTTTTGTCTTTGGTTGGCACCAGGATGGAAAGCAGAGATTTTCCTGGCGTTCTGGTGCAGCTGTTGTATAGTCATAACATCAGTGCCAGCAATCCATGCGCAATAATATATGAAGGCAGCCCAAATAGGTTTCACCACACTGGCTTCTAGGAAATACTGTTTTGTAATTAAATTACTTTCCCCTCCTTCCTCCTTGGAGCATTCGCATATTTCAAGCTTTCTCTTTTCATTCATAGTATCGTTTGGAATTCGTGATAGTTAACAAGTAGCATGCCTGAAATGGGAAAATACAGCAGCTATACAGCCTCTTTTAAACTGAGAGTTGTAGAATTTGTGCAGGAAAATGGAAAAAAAAAAAAAAAGAGAAGCAGCAATGAACAAAACAAGACGTGCATTTCGTGGTTCAAAACGTAAGTTCCCGAAGTTAGAAAAAAAAGTAGTTGCGCATGTTTGTGATATATGTGCTCAAGGGTTCAAGGTAGCACAGGAAATGTGTCAAATAAGAGCGCTAAATGTTTTTTCATGCGGCACATGAAATACATTCCTACATCACAATTCAAGGTGAGTGAAGGCTGGTTGCAGCAAATGAAGAAATGAAATGGATTTTCATAGAGTGCATCAGAAGATTTAAAAATTAATGTGTGCAAGATATTAAAAGAACCAACGTTTATTTAATTTTTGTAAAAGTAAATATTAAAATAAGTGTTGGTTAATTTGTGCCTCTACAATGTGCTCCTGTGCAAACTATACACGCCTAGTGTTGATAACGGAAATGGGGAAATTTATTTTACATATGTGGATGGGAGAAAATGAATTTGTAAATTTTAGGTAGCTATTAGACAACTTTAAATTTGATACTTTTATTACTTATGCTATGGCTGTTCGAAATGAAACTTACACCCATAATCACTCACGAGAAAAAGCAGCACATTTGAACGACCCGTGTAATGTCTGCACCTGCATTTTAGTGATGTCATTTTAGTAACAAAAGTGCAGACGTTACGTGAGCGTCTACAGTATTTTTGTCTTAAAACACTTTAGTAATCGAAAGTATCCACGATTATGAAAATGCATAAGACATTTAAGTCAGTAAGAGTATTATATGTAAACAAAACCATTTTTACAAAGACTAAAAAAAAAACAATAAAAATTTATGGACGTTAATTATATGTAAAACTTTAGAACCCAAATTTTATGCATACCTGAATTGATACCTTTATATCGAATTCTACTCTAGATTTATACTTATTGTATCACTTTTTACCCGCTAATTTGCAATAAAAAAAGAGATTTGTGGACACCCAACAAATATTGCTACATATATTATTATGGCAGGCACTTGTTTTTCTAGCATGGCCTACTCCAAGATCGGGAAGTGTTGGACCTATATATCTTTTGGAGGCACATACTTATAGGAAATGGTTTTGCATGCCATCTCCAGGATTTTCGACCCATCTTTCCCGGTATCGCTGGTCCTAACCCTATACCGTCTGGTAGTAGAAAAACGAAATTTTATAATTAGGAATATTTGACAAAGGATGTGTACAACAGATTAAAAACCATTTTAAATCTATTCACAATCTGTTTTAATGGTCAAATCCGAAAAACGAAATTTTTTATGATTACCACACTTGATTCACAGATTACAAAAAAATGAATTTCATTCATTAAGAATTTAATAGTTGTATATGCATAGTTTATTCTTGTCATGCAAGAATTTTAGTACACAATATTTCTCATTATAAAGAAATGACAGCTACAATTTTTTTATTCACTATTATTTGTTAAAATTAGAGATTATAATAACATTTAGCATACAATTTTAAGTCATTTATTTGAACTATCACGGTAGAATAACAGTACACTATATTTATATAATACTACTTCTATTTCATAATATTTTTATAAAATGGATAATATTGCTTTGAATGTAAATCCTTCAAACACAGCATTTAACACCTGCAGTATATTTTACTTATAACAATAATGGTCAAAAGCAAAGATTATTAAGAAAATATTCAATCTCTGGACCATGAAAAGAAGTAGAGTAGAAGAGGGAAGAGTTTAATTTATTTGAAGAGTCAAAAGAATGCAAGATACTTCAGCACAATTATTAAGCTCAGAAGATTTTGTAGTAAGTTATACATAAAAAAATGTCTCTGCATCGAGGCAACACACACAGCAAATAAAATCATTTCAACATACCTCCGCCAGGAGCAAGTAAATGATTTGCAGATGATTCTTTTGCTTTTTCTTCATCCATATATTGAAAGCCAACAGCAACAAACTGATTTTCAAATATTACCAAAAACCACTGTAGAGCTACAACTAATTCCTAAAGAGAAACAGAACTATAACATGGTTCAGAAGACGTAACATCCTAAAAACTAAACAATAAATGATCAAATACATGACAAATTCAAACTTCAGGAAATGGTTATATATGTAGGTAATAAAAGTAAATAATTATTTTGAGTTCTACATTTGATGCTTATAATGAAAACATATTCCACACATTTTAAATGAGATTGAATCATTTCTATCATGACATTTCCAAATGGTTCATAACAATAAATAAGGAAAACACTTCAAGGGTGGGTAATAAATTTGATAATTTTAACTCTCTATTCATAATTCATGAAAAATTAAGATAGATAGTTCATTTGATAATTTTAATTTTACATCAAATCCTAGAAATTAACAGCTAAAGTAAGCTGTTTTATAAATTTTAATTTGTTTAAACTGTAAAATAATTTAACATGCAGAGCTACAAAAATATTTCTTTAAACAAGCTTCCTTCCTTCCTTATTTAATAAAAATTCTTAAAAGTTTAGCACTAAATGAACACTTGTATCAAAACAAAGGATAGTATCATAGAAAGAATTGGATAGACTTGCTCAGCTATTTAAAATATGATTCTGATGTAAAATATATTAATATTTAATTAAATATTAAATTTTATATTCTGTAGCTAATTTTTTTTTGTAATTTTCTTACACTAGATAATTAATGCACATACTGTTATGTACCCTATATTGATGCTAAATGAAATTAATACAAATAATAACTGATCAAATATTGGTAATTCTTTAAAAAAAGGAATTCTACATTTGTTTAAAGACAACTTGAATTCAATCAAATTTAAAAAGATGAATTATTCCGAAAAACACAAGGGTTAGAAAAATGAAATTCTCACAATTTCAGTTTCATTAATTCAACAAATAATATTTATTGGTATGAAATGTTGTCTTTTGTAGTTTCCTTAACGAAGGTTAAAAATTAAAAGCAGGGAGATACGACAATAAACACGGAATCTCCGGTAAAGTAGGGAGGTTGCAGCTATGGCCCATATGTAAATATTTTTTCCCCATCTAAAGAAGATATTTAATTTAGTACAAGCATTATTCCAAATACTAAGATAGTGCTTTTTTTTCTCAAAAAGATCTGTTAAACATTTAAAAAACATATTAAGATAATTTATAATCTCTCTCTTACTAGAAAACACCTCGCTTAATTTTCATTTGGAATATAAATTCAATTATATTTCATGTTAAATAATTTCACCATACTAAAATACATATCAGAATAATCTTAGACAGTACCATTTTATACTATACTATATTGACAGCTCATAAGGCATGATAAAATGAGCATATTATTGTAATAAAAATGATCTAGAAAGTTCTACTATGTGATGATTAATTGCATTAAATTTTTAAAGAAAAAATTTTAACCACACTTAAGAAAATACATTTTTATGGTTTTAAGTAAATCCAAATTAAAAAAATTACCATTCTAACAAGAGGACTACCATCATTAGCCACTTTATTAATTAGTACCATACCAATACTATGGTCGATGGCATTTGCATGATCTGTCCTTTCTGTAGTACTGTTTAGAAAAGTTCCAAGAGCATAGACAGCTGCTGCTCGAACCTGAAAATAGGAAACTAAAATCAGAAAAGTATGAATAGCATTGAGAATTCATGTGAAAACATTTCAACATATACACGCAGCATATTTTTGTGCAATTCTTTAACTTCTTTTCTTAAGTAAACACAGATCACTGCATATACACATATCATGCAAAGTGAAAAAAAATAAAGAAAGATTTCGGATTTTATATTACACCCAAAGGGGCATTTTTTTAAATGTTTTGTGTGTTACCTTTATTTATTAAATATCATGTTCTTCGAACTTAAACTATAAAATCAATCTAACAGCAATATTGCAAAATAGTTTTAAAAGAGCATATCTTTAGAATTTCCAATACACAATCTCGCCCACTGGAAATACCCCCCCCTGGGAACAGTGTTGCCATTGCTCACTTTGAGATCGCTGAGTTTTTTTCAACAGAAACTCATAAATGCTTTGCAAAATTTGAAACAAATAATAAAACAAATTCCAAATTCAGGCTTCCAGATGGCCATATTCAGGTGGAGACATACATTATCCAAAACTTGATGGCTCTAGGTCCTGTTGTTTTACCGCAATGCAAGAAACACACATTTATAGAGATTCTTCATTATTTAATTTCTTTAAATACAACACAATGCGACAGTATCTGGTGGCAACAATTTGAAAATTGAAATGAACATTTAAAGTTTTCAATGCAAAATGGCAAAACGAAATTAAATAGCCCTTCTGGGCTAATGCCCTTTGGGCTAAAAAAAAGCTTTCATTACTAATGTTTCCTGCATTTAAAATTTTAGTGGTTGATTGTTTTTTATGGAATTTTTAGTGTGCCACCATTCTGAAAATGGCTCTTGTGTTTAAGGAGAAAAATTAGTCCTGAATGCTCCCCAAATTTGCCAAAAAATGTGCTATTTTTCAATCCTATTTTTAATTGTGACCTAAATTATTATGATAAAAAAGCCTGCATATTTTGAGGCACTTTTTAAACTGGAACCATGATTCCCTAATAAATTGTTCAAGAACCATTTAATGATATGATGTGTTTGGTAATACACAGTGTTTGCATTTAACAGTGTCTGAAAAATAAATGGAAAGTAAATCAATATTTGAACAGTTATAGTTTACAACAGAAAGCATAAGAAATAAAATCATAATTAAAAATTTTAAAACCATCTAATCTCCATCATGAAAACACTTATTCAAGCAATAATTCAGTTTTCATAAAAAATTGCACTTCCTTGAAAATCATAATTACTTTAATATAAATGGAATGCGAGTATTTTTCTTTTCATCAAAATGACTGAGAACTTGATTTCTCCAATACTAGCTAATAATAATACAAGTTGGAAGTGATACAAATTTTAGTTAAAATGGCACACATGTCGATATCAGTGTTCTAATCTTTTCAGAAATCACATTTAATCTGTCAAGCATGGTTAATAAACACAGCTCTACAACATAAGCCACTGACCATTTGCATGAACTATGGGAAAATCTATAGAATTCAACAAAAGTGAATGCTAATTGATATCTCTAAACCAGGTATTGTGAAATCATTCTTTTTTGAAAATACCACCATTATCAGCATATGTGAGCTACGAAATTTTAGATAAAGAACTTATATTTTATTGTATAAAAATATATCAGAGTCTATTATTAAACATTTTACTTTTCATAAAAATGGAAAATCCAAATAACAATGCACAATCAGAAAAATTTTAAATAACAAAAATCTTTAAATTTGTAAAAGTAACTTAAAAAAACTATAGAAACTGCATAAAATGATGAGTAAATTTAATTATGTAGCAAAGTTTATGCCAGAAGCTGCCAACCATTATTTTCTTCCTTTCTCACATCAGTTGATCTTTTAGGAGTTGATCTTGTTCTAAGGGGGAAGTTCAATAAAGAATGGTAAGTTTACCTTCAATAATGTGGCATATTTAATTATGGCAAAGCACACTAGGGCTATCTACCTAAGGGGAGGGATGCCTTCGTGGAGGACTTTCTAAGGGAAACTGGCTCGTATACACGTTACACATGGGGAAAACACCCATGCAGCCAGCCCGTTTGCGGAATTCGAACTCAGACCGAACTACCAGTGTTCAGCGCTCGGTCGCTGGTGGGCCACCTTCAATAATGAGAAGTTGGATAATTTTGAAGATTGCTAAATTAGGAATGTCCTTCACTATTTCAGGGAAAATATTATAATTTTTCAGTTTTTTTTAATTATTATTTGATTTGCTTTAGTATGCATGAAATAAAATAAAAAGTGGTAATAAAAGTAAATAATTATTTTGAGTCAAGTTTTTGTTATTATTAATTAAAGTAGTCAAATTTTTGAACAGATTTAGCATGATGTCACTTTTTTATAATAACTGGATTACCTGTGGATCATAAATTAAAATAAAATGCATGCCACATATTAAAATTAATATTAAAAATTCTTCTTATAACAAACATTTTGAAATCATTGTAGAAGTTTCTCCCTATATATTAAAAACCTTTAAAAAATTTCAGCATCATGTGATTGTCATAATAATGATTTAAGTAATTTACATTTGTATAATATATCCAGATGAAATTTTCAATTTCGCAAAATTAATTTAGAACATTAAAATTCAGTTGAAATAATTAGAGTATGACATTACAATTCCATTGATTTTTTTTTGGGGGGGGGACATGTTCCTCCTTTTTTTTTTTAAAGGAAAAAGTATAACAAGTGTAAATTGCAAAAAATTCAATAACATAATTCATAAATGTTTTTTCAAAGTTTTTAGAACTCATATAATATTAAAAAAAGTAATGAATGTAATGTACTACAACAACAGTTTCCCCCCCCCCAAGTGCATTTGGATTTGTATAATATTTGAAAAGGGAAAAAAATGTGGAAAATACGGCAAAGCGTCATCAACATCTTGTTTACTTATTCACATAGTTTTTGTGAAAGAAAAACTGCAAAAAATACTGTACTTATTTTACCAAAATTATGCGTATATTTTTGGAGACATGCTAGCTGGGTCAATACTGATTATCAGCAATGGATACTTTGTTGCCCAGACATTATAGTAGTTAAGGGAGCTTACTATGGTACTGAAAAGCCTGGGTTTGAATCCCTGAGAAGACATGGATGTTGCTAAGCGTATAGTGTCGGTGCGGCATGGCAGCAAACTAATTATATGACATGTCGAAAGTCCTCTTGTGTGGATGGGTGGAAGGGGAGAGGGTGGTAGAGCCCCAGATACCCCTCAAAACCGGGGATAGAAAATAGAAGTCTAACCTCTCTTCGGAGTATGCTCTGGCAAGAATAACACATTTGAGAACTGATGGATTAAAAGGGCTGGGGCCAACATAATCTCCCAAAATCATCTGTGACTTTTGGTTATTGTGGATAGCAAAACACTGTGTTTATGCTGTGGAACCAAGAGATCTTAATGACCGTCAATGAATTACCAATAAATTGAATATTGAATGTCAATAAACATTAATATAAATGTCAATGAATACCAATAATGAATTACCAACATAATTCAGTCCATGCTGGCCCTTACGTATCATCATATCATGGACAGCATGACTCATGGATGAATGCTTGTATGCATCAAGAAGCATAGCAACCAAGTTGAAGTTTTATTAACATATACGAACTGAACTGCATTTGTGCAAAATACTTTGTATCACTGCCATAAATTAACATACACATGTAACTTACACTGAAAATTAATTTACCCTTTTGTGCTAACATCTTCGTTGCTCATCATGTACATATATACAGAGTATTTTCAAAAGACTGCACAACTCAATATCTCTTGAATGTCTGGTCACAGAACCATATCTTAAATTTTAAAAATTGATTAAAAAGGATAAGCTTTAAGCTTTTTAATAGGTAGATTTCTTTTTTACTTAATTTCAATCATGTTCTTTCAGTAAAAATCTTTGAAATAATAATGCAATTTAAAAATTTATTAATGAACAATTTTACTGACATATATGTAATTATGAAAAATATTTATTGTTTACAATGGTTAATAAACTACAATATTAAAATCACATTTTTTTTTTACAAATACTAATAACAACAATATACACTAACTTCAGGTTCTGGATCAGTGAGTAGGACTTCTAACTTTTCATGGGCACTATCTCTTACTCCACACCATCGTGCTTGCTCAAAGTTTGCCCATATCTCCCCTAAACAAATAGCAACCCACTGCCTTAATTTTGCACTTGGGTCATTTAACTGCTCTAGGCAAATGGCCACAACATTATTCTGTAATGCTGCAACCTATCAAAATAAAATAAGTAACTTAAATAATTCACTCAAATATTTTCAGTAACTACAACAAAAATTAAAGTAACAGAATTATCAAGTAGTGACTGTGTGAATTTTAGATTAATATAACATTAAGCAATTTTGTCTTATTTTGCACCATAGAGAAATATGTTTGTCTTAAAAATAGACAGCACATTAAAACTCCTTATATAAAGCTATCCATAAATTTTGCACAGCAACAGTATTATTAAATATTGTTTGCCTAATACACCTTTCCTTGACTTTCTTGTCAAACTTTTAAAAGTTCGAACAGATAATTTATAATTTCTTAGTTTCCGCATTGTAACATAACAGTAACTCATTAAATATATATGGTTTCCGAATAAATGATCAAGATGAATACATCTATAATGTTCCTCACTACTTTGGCTACAATAAAATGTCGAGGAACCTAGTGAATTGTGTAACGAATTATCAATGAGCTCAAACACTAACAACATACACTCGAGAAAGGTTAAAATACTCTTTTACTCACTCACAAAAATTATAACAAATGGACCCTTCTCAGGCTTACAAGAAAGCCTCCACTTAGGCTTTTAAATCAGAATAAGAAAATAAAAAAACTAAACTAATTCTACGTAAAATATAGCCGAAGCTAAACACAAATATATAACGTAGTTTGCTCTTAATTTAAACTAGCGGACGATTATCAACAGGCACATCAATGTTGCCGAGCGTAATAGATTCAAGAATAAAATAGCCAGAAGGCAAACATGTGCCACTTAGGACTCCTAAACACTCTCTCAAAGTACGTAGAGCTTTCTATAAATACTACTCATTTGCATTTAACATGATTCTAAAACCTCATTCTGGTAGGGAATTGTAAGTGGGAAACGAGAGTTGAAAGGAAAAGGTTTCAAAATTAAAAATAATTGTTATAAAATTAACATACACCTTACACATTTTTTACAAATAAAACTCTGATTACTTACAGTTGCATTGTTACAGATTAATGCATAAAAAATTTTGGAAATTAGAATTTTCAGATTATTTTATATTTATTTCAGAAAATTAGGCCAAAAGAAAGCAGTTTTATCATTTTAAAACTGCATATATTTTTACATAAAATTGTTTAAATGTCATAAATAATTTGAGTTTGAATTCCCTTTTTAGAGCTGTTTTATGGAATTCAACTATGATATTAATCAGCCATTCTTACATAGCAAATAGTTTTACTATACATATACATATAGCCATCAAATGTATTTTAAATGATAAACCATACATTAAAAAATCATTTCTTAGCATATATTAAATAAATAGATAAACAATTATGTAAATAACAATAAATGATTAAATAAATAAGCAATTAAATTAACAAAGAAATAAATTAAACAAAAAATAGTAAAACATATGTTAAAAAAAACCCACTACTAAATGTACATTAAAAATTATACTTTTGGATCCATAAACTAATGAACATAAAATTTATTTATGACTTGAATTTTTAACTGAAAGCCTACCTGTCCCTGTCTATAATTGTGTACAATACATGCTACACAAAATGCAGCCATTGTACGATGCTCGGCCTAAAAGAAAAATTAAGCTTCAATATTATTTTCACAAAACTATATAATTTTAAACATTTTCTTAAACTACAATCTGCATTTCATATTAAATGTGAGGTATATGTATCACTTACAAAATATAAAGATTGTTTGATAATTGGGCATATAAGGTCATTTAGTGATACAATATTCAATTCAATTTAAATACATATTAATCAATAATTACTTTCCGTTTTCTAAAAGATGTGAATGTTAATCAGAAAGTAAGATGGTTTGAGCTCTTAAGACTCAATTAATATTTTTATACAATTATTGAAAGAAAAAATGCTTACTGGCATGAACTGTTCGCCTAAAACACCAAGAAAGTACTTGAACCCACCATCTCGAACAAGTTCACTCTGGCAAGTCTGGAAAGGGAAAAAAAAAAAAAATTGCATTTTAGACAATCTATTTATTTTACACTGTGAAATAATTCAAAGAAAACATTATGTGTTGCATTAAAATTTATTATATTACAAAAAACAGTATATTACACAGACAGATGATCATAAAAATGGAAGCAAGTGAAATATTAAAATTATGTTGCTAATAACAGTTTGCATAGTGACTATGCATGAACATTCATATAACAAATTATGTGAGATTACATATATATAGTGTTACGAATTTGGTATTTAAAAAGCTAATGTTAGTTCAATTATAAATTAAATGGTTTTATTTCCTGCGCAGTGCAGCGCGTGTCGAATATTAAAAGAAAGCTAAGCCGGAAAAATTGAAAATACAAGAGCGCGTGCATTAAATAAATAACTATCTCTTTTTGATTTTGAGAAAGTACTAGAAAATTCTAGCGCATGATTTTAAAATCTTATAAAAGGAGGAAAACATCTCAGTTCGTAGCAGTTACTTAGTTTGTTGTTGTTTGGAAAACTGCTCTTGTTGATTGTAGCGAATTCGCGGATTAGCTTTCTTTAGCTGTTTTGAATTACGTTCTATTGGACATTTGAGTAGTTAGAAGATAACTACTGTGATATATTGTGATACTGCACGATTATTTGAGAAAATTGAAGCATTTTTGTTGTTATAATAATAAATTTTTGTTCATTTTTCATCAGATTTGTGCATTCATTTCGTAACGAACCCATACGCACGCAACAATTTTTGGTGTCAGAAGTGGGATTTTGAAATGCCAATTACAAGAGGGATGGAAGAACAATTAAGGCAAATGATGACTGCATTTGCTACTTCCCAAGAAAAGATGGAAGGGGCGTCAACTCTGTTAAGGAAGAAATGAAATTGGGCCAGGAATCCGTTAAGGAAGAAATGAAATTGAGTCAAGATGCAGTCAAAGAAAAGATTGAAGCAGGTCAAGAGAAGATTGAAGCAGGACAGGAAGAGAGAAGGAAAATTACCTGCATAATAGAAAATAAATTTGAGGCTATGGAAGGCAGAATGGACGCGGTTGAAAACAAAGTTGGGCAAATTGAAGAAAACGTTTCTTCTGTCAAACGACAAATAGAACAGAGAATTTCGGCCGTAGAACAACAAATCGATTATAGAGTTTCTTCTGGGAAAGAGCAAATAGAAGACAGAGTTTCGGCCGTGGAACAACAAATAGGTTACAGAGTTGATTCGGTCAAAGAAGAAATAGAAGGAAGAGTTTGTTCTGTTAAACAACAAATTGATGAGAGAGTTTCTGCATTTGCCAAAGAAATTGATACTTTAAAGAAGATGGTAGCGACGGCAGGAAGCAATTCTGACAGTTTTAAATTTTTAACGATGCCTGCTCGTCCCATTCTGAAACTATCAACATATGACGGGAAGACCTCCTGGCAGGTTTATAAAACACAATTTTTTATCGTTGCGGATGCGAATGGATGGGATTCCCAAACTAAGGCCTGTCATCTCGCCGCTTCTCTGAGAGCAGCGGATATCCTGAGACGCTTCCCGAAAACAAAATTGACTTCGAAGCTCTACCAGGCATTGGAGCTGCGCTTGGCGAGAAATGTTTAAAAGACTACAGCAGGCTTCAATTAAAATCCCGTCAACGAGCCCCCGAATACTCCAGGAACTCGCCACGGATGTTGAAAGGCTGGTCCACCTCGCATTTACGGATTGCCCGAGAGAAACGAGGGAAATCCTGTCCCGGCAGTACTATCGATGGCATCCGGATCCCGAATACAGAAGGCTCTACGAAGGCTGAGTTAAAGTTTGAAAAGCGCTTTAGTGTATGCCTGAAATCAAGGCAGCCCGCAAGCCACTCGTCAAGACTGCCACCCTCAGAGCTGTGCGAGCATGAGCCAGTGGATCAATTATGGCTCGTTAGATGATTTATCCAGACAAGTCGATGCTTTGATACGGAGTCCAGTGGAAGCAAGTGGCTTAAGGGTTGGAGATGTGGTTCTGAAGGTCACCTACGACGGCATTACAGAACACCCCAGGGCATGGATAATAAAGCGAATGATTTGATAAGACCAGTGAATGCCTTGAGATGGAAAACTGGTGAGAAGAAACCAACCCTAAAGTCCTGGAACTGCGGTGTTGAAGGCCACATATGAAAGAACTGCAGAACACCACAAAGCACGGAAAATAAGAGAGGTAGGTTAAACAGACAATTAAATCACATGGGACAGAAAAGGATTGACTACAAACTAAAGTGCTGGAACTGTGGATCTGAAGAATTGCAGAACATCCCCGAGTACGAAAATTGAGACCATTTCCCAGTGACGACGGAGGAAACAAATGAATGGCCATATCGAGGAACGGAGGTTGCCAGATAATGAAAAACCCTGTTTTAAAGCGCTTAAGATTTCTACAGTGAGTGGCAACAGTAACGACTGTCCATCAAGGGGCTATCGATGGAGTTCCTTGCAATATGATCATGGACACAGGAGCTATGTACCATCATTCGGTAGATTTAGCTCAACAGTTTAAGATAAACTTATTTGGACGCCATCCTCTGTTACCTCAGACTCATCTGGTGATATGATCGGCATAGCTGGGAAGTAATTAACATCAAGTTGGAAGTGCCGCCACCATCACTGGCATATGAGCAGAGATATTATCCATGCATAAGTTTGCACGAAAGCGTAAACTTGGCGACGTAGAAAATGAAGTCTAGATACAACACGAGAGCTACTGGACAAGATCCAACAAGGAGACAAGGTGTGTTGGGGAACCGATACACAAAAAAAAAAGGAGTCCGTCCTAAATTACAGTCACCTTCGGAGGTCCTAACAGTGCTGAACGGCTAAATACGTCGTGGTTCGGATCCGAGTCTTCGAACTCTTACGACAGGTTGCTCATTACTATGGCATATACATAATGTAAATAATTGAATAGTGCAAGACCATGGTCCTTTGGTTCTAAATTGTATTTATATTGATTCATTTTGCATTTGATGTATTGTATTGAAGCATTTGATTTGTTTTATTATTGCATTTATTGTTCATGTTGTTTATTATTGCAAGTAATGCTTATTAATGCATTTATGCCACGTTGTAAGTTTAGCTTTCTGTCCAGGGATTGTACTGCCCGGGACGTCAGTCCTTGGGATGGGCAGTGTTAATGAATTTTATTAAAAGCTTAATGTTAGTTCAGTTATAAATTAAATGGTTTTATTTCCGTGCAGTGCAGCGCATGACAATATTAAAAGAAAGCTAAGCCGGAAAATTGAAAATACAAGAGCGCGTGCATTAATAAATAAATATCTCCTTTGATTTGAGAAAAGTACTAGAAAATCTAGCGCGATTTAAAATCTTATAAAGGAGGGAAACATCTCATTGTAGTATTACTTAGTTTGTTGTTGTTTGGAAAACTGCTCTTGTTGATTGTAGCGAATTCGCGGATTAGCTTTCTTTAGCTGTTTTGAATTACGTTCTATTAAACATTTGAGTATTTAGAAGATAACTACTGTGAATATTGTGATCCTGCACGATATTTGAGGAAAATTTAAGCATTTTTTGTTGTGATAATAAGAAATTTTTGTTCATTTTTCATCGGATTTGTGCATTCATTTCGTAACGAACCCGTACGCACGCAACAATATATATATATATACCAAAGTACACAAATTCCTTTTCAATAATTATTTAAACACTACTACTGCATCTCGCAAAAATGTTTTTAAAAATCTATTTATTTGTTTTTAATAATTTAAAAACTGAGAAAGAGGCCCATATATGGTAAGTAAACATCTATTCCTTATGAGAAAAACCTTTCCTTCAAGTTCACTTTAAAAACTTTAAGAATATAAGAAGGAAATGATCTAAATACTAAATCTTAAAATGCAAAAAGCATAACTTGCATTAAAATGTATTTAAAAAGTAAACATTTTTTAATTCTTAAGCCAAAATAATTAGTTAATATTAATATGATTTAATATAAACACACATGGATTGAAATATTTTATCAGCCACAAAAGAAACTTTCTAGTAGTTCATGTTAAGGGCAAAAACTGCAATGTTTCTTAAAGTACTTCCATTCAAAAAAAAAAAAAAAAAAAAAAAAGATAGGGAAGGAGGGAAAGAGACTGGTTTTAAAAAGAATCAGCTCTAAGCTTCTTAGTTCCATAGATAATAAAACTGGACAAAAAAACATGCCAATGTAAAACTTACACCTATGCAAAGAAGTAATCTTAGTTTGGCAGCATACATACAAAAAGAAACTATTGATTTTGAAGGCAAATCCCTCTTCTTCAGGAGAAAAATAAATAAATATACAAAAATACAAAAAAATCTTAACTATATCTTTATGGCAATTATGTTTTAGTTATATTTAAATATACTAATCGAAGAACATGTTATAACAAAATGAACTGCAACTTGCAAATGTAAACTCTTATCCACGCTCTGTGATAACATATGAATCCAATTAAAATTTTAATGACTTCAGAGTCTTCTTAGGGAGAAAAGTAAAAATAAAAAACATAGAAACATGCTACTTACACAGTCTACTGCTAAAACTTTAGCCCAAATAAAAACTAATAAAGGTCTCAGTTCTCTAGCAGAGCTCTGAAGAAGCTTTAAAACATAAGGAAAAATACCAACAGAAAGAGCCTGTATATGAAAAGAAAAAATAAATAAAATAAACAGTGCATGAACTTTTAAAAAATATAAATCACAAAATTAAAACTACTACACAGTATAAATACACTAGATGCACCAAAATTACTAAACTATTTAAAACATTCATAAAAATATTAACTAGCAATCATACAAGAATGCAGTTTTCACCAAAATTCATACCATGAATCCAATTTTTGGATGGCAATAAAAAGTTCAAAATTTTGCCAACAGACATTATGCACTTCAGTAATGATATTTAATGACAGAGAGCTAGCTTAAATATACTTTATATTTACTTCATTGCACTGAGTTTTACTCAACCTAGTGTTTGTTCAATGTGTCTCTCAGCATAAAAAAATCACATTTTCCATACAAGTGATCACAATATTCTTGATGAATTGAGCACAGTTGCGTCTACGAAATTGATTTTGCAACAGATAGCAACTTTTAGTTGCACTAAGGCCACAAGTATACATCCAGGACTTCAAATGGCCCTACAAGCAAAAATCCATGAGTGTTGAGTGTGAGGATCAAGAAGACCAGACAGCAGAGCATTAGAGACTAATTAGCTTCTCAGGACCAAATATCTCAATGAGGACCAGAATAAAGAAATACACTATACAAACTATTGTATAATAAATCAACACATAATAAATCATATAAAGAACTGCATCATCTTGCATATACATGACAATCTCTATGAGATTACATTCTGCCAAATTTATTATTGTGCTTTCATGCAATATTCAAGGATGCACTGGCCTGTTACAAAGTATGTTTTCTACTTCATAAGAAATAGTTCTTCTTTGCATATTCAGATATTTTCCCTTGACCATATTCCATAATTACGGTTATTAAAAATGCTATGCAATGTAAAATCATCTCAGAGGAGGTTCAGAATGCCCAAGGGCTGAATTCCTCCTATTTACATTACAACTTAGTTTTCAACTGATGCAGTAATTAGGGTTGTAAGGATACTACTGCATACCTATCAACTTTGTGAGACTAAAAATCAGAAGATTTCTGGAAAAAAATTCAGAATACAAAACATGAAATTTAAAGAAAAAAAGATTGCATATATCTGAAACATGATTAGAAAAAGAAACCCTTTTAAAGTTTTTAAAAAATCACACTAATTTAGCCTGCTTATTATGCTAAGCAATTCTGCACCTGTTAAAAAGCAATCAGACAATTTAGGTTCATAGCATTTAATCAATAAAAATTAATCTACTTATCAATAAAAATTAAGATATTTTCAAGACCTTGTATTGCCACAAGTACAAGACTCAGTTTTTTTCAAAATGGTAAATATGCACTCACATTCAGCATTGCTGTGAAGTAGTTTAATGTAATTTTCAAAACATTAGTGATCCCTTAATGTTCAAGAATTCCATCTAGTCCATAAACCTTTCCTATCAAATGAACCAATGCATCCTTACTAACATCTAGAGAATATAACAAAAAGCCTCAGTCAGAATAGTTGTAAATTATTTTTACTATTTATTCCATGCTATATCACTGTTCTCTCCATCTGGTATTGTAAGCAGAAATGGAAATTTATCCACAAAATATCAAATACTATTAACCCCTTAACTGCCGTGGGCGTATATATACGCTTTGCTCAGCCGATGCGTTAACTGCCCCAGGCGTATATATACGTCCTTCCAAACTGCTATCATTTGCTTTGCGCTGCTACACCTAAAATTATTCGCAAAGTTAACGCATCGGCTGCGCATCTGGGGCAGTTAACGCATTGGCTGAGCAAGGCGTATATATACGCCCGCGGCAGTTAAGGGGTTAAAAGAACTTTCAAATTAGCGACTATATGAAATAATATTTCACTTTCCAATGGGGAATTTCTAATTATGTAATAATAGTGAGCAGATATAGAAAAAAATCCACCCCATATAAACTGTAACAGCCCATTTGAGTCACCAATTAAATTAGGAAGGTACAAAATAGTACTTTTCAATCAAAATAGTACTTCGATCACATAATAAAGAACAGTAATCCCAAAGTTGATGGCAGGGTAAAGAATGATACTCTTTACCGAATGATTTAACTGTAACCCCAAAGGGCAATAAAAATATGTGCCAAAGTGGATCTAGGGACAAATCACTATGATGTAATGTTTCTGTCATCTCTGCAAAAATAACTTTAAATTAGTTTTAAAAAAGGTCTTTGTGCCAAAAATTGTAAAACTACAGCAGTTTTCATAAAATCTGATAAAAATGTTACTGCCATACAGTACACGAAATCTAAAACACCAATTAGTTTGGTAGATTCATAATTCTTGCAATTTCCAAACACTGATCACTGATTATGCAGTTAAAGTTTCTACCTAAGGTGTTACACAGTTTGTGCGAGATTCAAGCTACAAAGATTTGCAAATGTGACCTCAATTAACTACAAGTTTCTTCAAAATGTCACATAAAGAGTTTTTTAGAACTGTCATAGTCAGTTGGTTACTGTTATAAAGTTGAAACAGTTGTTTCTCCAAATAGGTTGCACAATTTCACCCATAGTTTCTTATCAATCAAACTCAATAATGACCGCTTTGACTTGAAGCAATATCAAGAGTTTGCACGTGGAAAGTTTCTTTTAATCTCAGTTACACACCTATGCTATAATAATCTCAGTTATACACCTATGCTTCCTATAATGCAAAACCATCTATTGATAAAAATTTGAACTAATGAACTGCCAAAAAAACATGGATTTGTGACACTCATTTTCGTGTAAACTCCTTCTGCCATATACAGTCAAAAGTCGTTAATTCGGACACCCATAATCAGGAATGATCTATAATCCGGACCTCAAAGCTACAAACTTTCTGCACATGCGTCGCGTTCACGCATGCGCACAGGTGTTTACGAGAACGCGTAAGACCCTTACGGCTGCGAATATGTTTGTGCGCATGCGCGTTTAATGTGTAACAGAGTTATACGCTAAGCTAAAGTTATCTAATTCAGTTAATGTTGCAGATTGTGTTGTTCCTTAATCTTCGAAATGGATCCGGCTTATTATTTTTTGCAGATTGTTAGAGCAATTTTATAAAAGTAAGCTTGAACTTTCGATTATGTCAAATAGAATTTCCGATATATATTTACTACAAAGCCAAAGTATGTTTTGAAATCCGAAATCTGTTTATCAATTTCACGCTGCTCTGCGCTCTGCGGCAGAGGGGGGGCAGAAACGTCATTATTAGATTATGATAGATTAGAAAGATTATGTCAAATAGAATTTCTGATATATATTTACTAATATGTAATTTGTATCTACAAAGCGAAAGTATGTTTTGAAATCCGAAATCTGTTTATCAATTTCACGCTGGGGATTGGAAGTTGATCTGTCAGCACTATTCTTATCTTCAGGGCAGATGTTTTTATTTTATTTGGTTTATAATTCCGTACTAAGTGTAGTATTTCATTTCGATGTACTCCGTCTTTGATATGATTTAAATCAAGTTCCTCGTCATTATAATTCGCTTCCGATAGTGAAGAAAGTGACCCAGAGTTTGTTTTCGTTTTCAATAACATTTCGATTGACAAATTAGTCGGTATTCTCAACACAGCAATTATAGGACTTGAACAGCGGAACTTTGTAACTAAACAAGAAATTATGTCTGTTTAATAGAATTAAAGAGAAAGTTTTATCACATGAAACGAAGCAACTTACATTGAAAGAAATGTTTAATAAAGTAAACAAATAAATATTAAACTTTTTCTTTTTGTAAATTTTGATACCCTTTAGATCATAATTGTTCTTTATTTCATAAATTACGGTTTCATATTTTTAATTTTGTAATTTCTGCATGCCATCTTACCAGATTTAAACTGATGATCTATAATCCGGAAAAATCGATAATCCGGAATCGCCGAAGTCCCGACGAGTCCGGATTAACGACTTTTGACTGTAACAGCTAGTTCAACTTTTAAGAACTGTAGTCTAGTGAATTTTGGTGCACCCTATGTTATGATTACACAAAAACAATGAATTATTTTTATGAAAAACTAAGTTTAAACAACTATAAATATTTATTATATTACTCCTGCATATCTTTCACACTTCCTTTTCATTAATATATTCTATTTATAATTTATCCTTGGTAAGTTGACTAAATTTGTATGTTTTTCATCATATATAATAATTGCAATAGTAATTTCATCATATAAAAAATAATGCAAAATTTACATGACAATCATGGGTAAAATCATGACACTTTAAAACTTAGGACTTGAACTAATAAAGTTTGTGAAATTTTTATTCTTAAGTATTGCATCCCCTCCCCAAAAAAAGTTCTACCAGATACAAAAGTAATAATACAAATAGTTAATACACTATGCATTATATTATACATTTTGAAACCAATATTTGCTTTTATTAATCAATCAAATTTAAACAATGTTTACAAGAACATTGTTTGAATTTGATTGTTTGAGTTTTCTCTCAAGATTATACAAGAACAAGATTTCCCTTTATGTGATAGCATTCAATATGCTACACTGTGAACTGACAGATTTTCTTTTGTAATGTAGTGTCTGGGATATGTATCGTTCAGCATAACTTTGTTTTTAGATACTGGGAGATAATTTAGTCTTACTTAAGAAAATATTTATTTTTCATATTCCAGGAATCCGGCAAACCTTTGCCGGATCAAAAAAATTGACTTTGAATCTTAAGAGAAAACTCAGATCTCTGAGTTTTTGGCACAAAATTATTCATTCTTTCCATGTAAATTTTAAGGGCAGAATTAAGATTATAAGTAAGAAAAGTAATCTTAAAGCTATAATAAAAATTAGAAAATAATAGAACAACTGAAATTTGTTAATATGTTTGAGGTTTCTGGAAAATTAATATTTGGGAAATCAAAGAAAAAAGCATTAATTTAGGAAAATAGTTATCAAAATTTGTGCAATAAATTTACATACTGCCTTAATAATAGTTACACTTATACCAATTGCGATGGTCATTTTAATTCAATCAAAATAATTTGAAAATTGAAGTACAAATTGATTTAGCATTAATCACATAAGAGGAGTAACAAAAAATGATTAAACAATATTTTTAAATTATAAATCAAAATGATAAATAATAAATATATAACATGAATAAATACAGTCCAAAGTCCAAAGACGTTCATTATACAGAATGATCTATAATCCGGACCTCAAAGCCACGAACTTTTTTTTGGTATGCTTTACGCATGCGCGTAATGTGTTTACGCATTTGCGTTTAATGTATAACGGATGGTATAAGCTAGGCTAAAATTATCTTTATTGATTCTAAGGCGTTTCAGTTAATGTTGCAGATTGTGCTGTCCCTTAATCTTTTAATTGGATCCGGCTTATTATTTTTTGAAGACTGTTAGAGCAATTTTATAAAAATTAAGCTTGAACTTTCGATTATGTCAAAAAGAGTTTCCAATTCTAAAGCTGCCAAAGGATCTACAAAGCGAAAGCATGTTTCGGTGTCCATCAAACAAAAAGTGGAATTGCTGCAAAAAATGGATAAAGGCATATATATCCATCTCAAAATTATGCGAGGAGTATGGCATTGGATGACACAAGAAAAAAGAACTTTTTGAATTTTTTGTGAAAGCATCTTAAACAACTTACATTGAAAGAATGTTTAATAAAGTAAAGAAAAAAATATTAAGCCTTTTTTTTTTTTGTAAATTTTGATATCCTTTAGATCATAATTGCTCTTTATTTCATAAATTACGGTTTCATATTTTTAATTGTATAATTTCTGCATGCCATCTTACCAGATTTAAATTGATGACCTATAATCCGGGAAAAAACCTAACCGGAAACGACGAAGTCCTGACGAGTCAGGATTACGGACTTTGTAATGTATAATGTAATGAATACTAATGACTAAAAAATATTGTTAACCCTTTTGACCCAACTTTTTCATGATTAAAATTTAACTACGAAAAGTAGTTTGATTTAATGTTGACATACTAAAAGAAGTGTAATATGAGTTTTTAACTTTTCCCATTTCCTGGAAATCTCCTGGGAAAATATGTCTCAATAGTATTGCGAACTAGGAATATTCATCCCAATCGTCTAGGTTATTGTGATAATAACCTTACACTGCATGTCAATAATTAATAAAGTTAATGAAATGTACCAAATATTTTATTCTTACAGTACAAGTTAAGTATGATACAGCATAAAGCAGTCTTTACAAAGTGCAATCTGGCACATTTGGCAAATACGCCAGGTTTCATTAGTCATATATTTGTTCCCTAATTCCTTAAAAACACTGCAAACGTAAAAACCCATTTAAAAGTGTGTTTTATTTATCCAATAGGGAATGAAACCTGATCTCTGAGGGGTATGTGGCCATTAGGAGCGAAAGGGTTAAAAAACAAATATTCTTTTATAATAAATTATGCACACAGAAGAATATCAGAGCTACACAACTTACCAAATTCACAGCCCAAGGTCCTAAATCTAAAAACCGCCCTAAAAGTTCTAAAGCTCTCAAGCGATGAACCTGACTTAATAAAACCTAACAAAAGAAATATTATTGCTATTACTATTAATCTTATTCATTAACTGAAGAGAAAATATTTTTAGAAATAACTAAAAGATTACTTAGAAATTATATTTTCAAAAGAAAAAAAAGTACAGTGTCATTTCAAATACAATATCTTTCTTTCACTCAGTACACTGCAAACAATATATGATCAATTCACATATATTAATGAAAATGGCTACTCGCAGTCTCATACAACAAATTTACACCTAGCGAGGCTAATAAAATATATCTTAAATTGGTGATAAAAGTGCAATATAATACTGTATTATAGCAAAAACATATCACTAGTTTATTTTTCATTTCAAAGATATATATATACAAGACAATAAAAATATAACAGAAAGAAATAAATACTGAATTGATATGATTACAAATTATTGCACAATTTTGTGCTTATGCACAAAATATTTAGCAAATTTCTTAACTACTGAAGTTTCAGAGATTGGCTTATGCACAAATTTAAAAATTCAAACTGAATTACAAGTATCTCCATCATAAAAATGAATAATTGAAATATAGGATGTCCACAAAGTCCCTGAACAATTTTAACCTGCTTTTGTGACCACCCTGTAAGAGGTACTGCTGTATATTTTTTGTAGTATTTTTCCAAACAATGTGTAAGTTTTCTCCTAACAATTTGTTTTGGTTTAATATGCACAAAATGAGAGGATGTGGGGATCTGAAAATCTTCATGTCACAAGGGAGTTGAAGCAGTAGAGACCAAAAGTACATGTTTGGTGTAGGATGTTGCATGACAAGATATTAGGACAATTTTTTCCCCCACGAACAAACAATAGCAGCCAAAGTTTACCTCGACACATTAATTAATTACAACTGCTCACAGTGTTAGGACCATTAACCAGATGTCATTATTTTCCCATGACAAGTGGTAAGATCCGCATAACACTAGAGGGCACTGAGAGCGCTATTGAGTGTGCAGTTACTCGATGGAAGGTGTGATGCAGAGATTCTGAGTTTGAGATATTATTATACTCCATTAAAATCAATTTATATTTTATTGATTGGTGATTATTAATTTTGATTTATTCATATTTGATGTGATATTATGTTTTACTGAACCACCATATATATTAGAAACTTGGATTACCACTGAATCTTCATACCACTGATGCGCAACAAGGTTATGTAACTTTTGTCACTTGTCATAAAAGCTTTGAACCTTGCTTGTAAAAGTATGACTAGTACTAAAGGGATAAATTGTTCCATCGCAGACATCAAACTGTTAAAGTTGTTTATGGATTTTGTGAACACCTTGTATATTTTATTTAATCCTATTAACATTAATCAAAATTCTTAATGCCAGTATCTAACTCGAAATTTTCTTGGATGTCTCTTTCTGCTAGAGAGGAATCTGGGTGAATGCAACTGTTCTCCTTTCAATCATTAACATAGTTTTGTCACTTGCCTTGTAGAAAATGCCGTCTTCAATTCTGTCCATAAACCCATTCAGCAAAAATTAAGAGGTTGAGGTAGTACACGATGCTGTTTAACAGCAGGTAAAAATGGCGTCTTTCCAGAATCCCGATTTCCCGTGCAGATTTCAAGCAGTATGCACTACTACACAAATACATGAGCTTGCCAACTTGTAATTTATTTACGGAGCTGTGGATAGTAACAGAGCAGCTGATCAAAGGAGGTACTGAGAATTATCCCCAAGTATTTCCTTAAAGCAGCTGCTCTATTTGCAGCCCCAACGATAAAATATATGTCAAGAAGTTTCACATTCGCATGCGTACCCCACAAAATCCGCAGGAGGAATGATAATTTATGGCAGGAGACCACTCTTATCTACAGTTTAGCAACACCCCATACCACCTCAATACATTATTTCTGAGCACATGTTTCACTACAAAAATCTGCTTATTCCAACACACTCTCTACATGCCTTTATTTCTGCCAGATATTTTTGAATCACCCTATTTACAGATATGAATAATTGCATTTTACTCATAATAGCAAGAGCAAGTAGCTTGTAAAGACAGAGCTAGAGATTACTTAAGAATGATACCATAATTGAAAACCAAATTAAAATTTGCCTGTCCAAAACCAATGTCCTTGCACTTTTGTCAATAAATTTATAGATAATTTACACAATAATTACAAACTCGGCTTATGCAGCAATAAACTGAAAATAAAGGCAATTTATGCAACTTATGTGAACTTGAAGAAAGTAACAAAATTCACATGTAATTACAAGTAATAATTTTACTAATAGAAAATTTCAAAATTCCAGATTATTTTATACATTTTCATTTTTTCAATATGATAAATATTGTTACTTCTATAAATTAAATAGAAAAATTTGATAAAATGAACATCAAAGCAGCAATAGTGACATAACTTTTCCATGATGAAAAAAAGATTAACTTCATTATTTCCTTGTTCATATATTCTCTTTATAAAAACTACACTGGTGAAAAAAATTAAGAGAATTTGCATATTTTATCGAATTGCATGAAAAGAACTGAACTGAAGAAAAAACCACTGCTTCTAGATAAAAATGCAAATCTTGTACGGCAAACATGCAAGTGTACACGTGTGTGTAGGAGGAGCCAGCAGAAAAATAAGCTTTATAAGCGTGTGGAAGGTAAGACGAATTACGTTCGCTAGCCCACCTCAGCGAATTTCTCCGCATTATCTTGCAGCAATCTGTTAAATTCACATCAGAGCAGTAAAAATGAATAACCACAAAGTTTATATGATGGAATGAAATGGCAAATTGCAGGAAAGCTAGAGACAAACCAATCGCAAGTCCAGATCACAGACAGTTTAATTTAACGCCCAGCGTCATGCGTAACCTATGGAAACAGTTTTAGGATACTGGATCCATCGAGAAAAAGCCTGTGCCAGGTTGTCCAAGAGCCATGACAACCAGAGAAGATCACTATTTGTCCATTTTAGCAAGGCATAACAGAGGGGCTACAGCTTCTCAGCTCTCTTGGGACCTGTAAGAAAGCCATGTAACAAAGGTGACCATTTCCAAAAGACTTAATGAGAGAGGGTTGCTTGCCAGAAGACTGGCTGTTTGTGTCCCGCTCACATCTACGGACAGGAGAGTCCAATTAGCATGGTGCAGGCAGCATAGTGATTGGAGTATGAAGCAATAGGTGACCGTTCTGTTCACCGATGAGTCCCATTTTAGCTTAAACACTGATTCTTGCCATGCTTTCATATGGAGAGAGCCAGGGACCTGCTACCTACCCTCCAAATTCCCCAACAATGATGGTGGTGGCGGTGTAATGATCTGGCGTTAGATGGCGACACATCTCTGCATGTCTCTGTCTTTAACAGAAGCTCTGTGACTGGTGTGAGGTATAGGGATGAGATCTTGGGTCCCTATGTTTGCCTTTTCTAGGATGCAGTGGACTGCGAGTTCAGCTAACAGGACAATAACGTGAGGCCAGATAGAGCTCTTTGATTCGACAATTTCTCGTGAGTGAGGATATTCGTTGGATGTATTGGCCAGCCATGTCTCCAGACCTCAGCCCTATAGAGCATGTCTGGGATGCTCTGGGGAGGGCAACTGCAACTCACAATACCCCTCTGAGAACCATCCAGGAACTGAAAACAGCGTTGCTGAATGAGTGGGACCAACTGCCACAGGCACTGATAAACTGCCTTTATTTCTGGTATGGTATCATGCTGTGAGGCCTGTACGGCTGTTAGAGGGGATGATACCCCCTATTAACCCAATTCTTTTGTGTCTTCTGCAACTGCTATTTCAGACATTCAGACTCCCAAGAGTTACACATGCACATGTGTGTCTATTATAACTGTTGAATGTTTATTTCGTTTGTATTATATCAACCTATGTTCACACCAAATTTTATTAAAATCTGCCCAGTAGTTCTAGAGATTGTATATCAAATATGAAAATTCTCTTAATTTATTTCACCAATGTATGTAGTTAAAAACAGTCAAGATACCTTTTTTTATTTCCTGCTATTTTTTTTTTTTTTTTTTTTCTCAATGTCTAGTAGCTCATCAATAAAATGTTTGCTAATGCAACAGTGGCTCTTATGGACTGATTAACAATTTTAGGTACTTGCATATTATTAGATCAACTGCAAAAGTTGACTACCACTGAATTACAAAAACTGGCAGAGATCCTGCCATAGTTGCACCAATCACTTTTGTAGAACTTTGAAATAACTGACGGCTATTTACTTAATAAACAATCATATTCAACCTGCTTCATTTTTGCACTTCAGAAAAATCATTTCATCGATTTCTATTTGTTCCTTAGGCCATCTGATTTTACCAGAAGCTCTGTTTAAAACATTGTGAGTACAGACTTCCAACAAATAATTTTTCCAATATTTTACTGTTTTGTCAGCATACGCAGCTGATCATATTGTGTTCATATATACACACATAATTTGATGGTAGAATCTCATAACTCTTAAATAATTCATTGTTTGCTGTTCTGCAGACAGCAGGTCCTAAAGCTTAGTATTTGATTTTTTTTTATTTTATTTTATTTTATTTTATTTTATTTTATTTTTTCCAAAATGAAAGGAAAAAATACGATATTAAGAGTTAATTTATATGCATGTTCATAAAAACAAAAAATGGCTTATCAAGAATCAATAGGTGTTACATCAAACAAAAATGTATGTGCTATGAGTGCATGAGTGCATTGTTATATCACACTTATCCACAACTGCAATTAAATTGCATTGCTCGGAGAGAGTTTCACAAGTAATGGGAAAATATGTAAGTACCCAATTTTACTTATAAGTACCGGTATTGAAATTATTTACATTCCTCCAATGATTGTGCATGAAAGTAAAAGAAAGTAATGAAATATTCTGAAGCATGACAAAACTAATACTGGAAATGAAGAAGCAAAACTTCTCAGATATTTATATTTGCTTTCAAAGAATTTGAAGACAATTCAAAATATACTTATATAATCATAGTAAAAAAATATTTAAAATACAAACTGAAAAAATTTTAAAATACAAAAAGAATAAATTATTCTGAATGTTTTAAATGTTTGGAACATAATTTGTAATTTACAGTATGCTATTTTTTTTTACTGATTAATATTCAAAAATGTATTTTTGCTGATCAACAAAGGTTAATACTGCAACTTTATACTCATAAAAATCAAAATGCATACATAATCACTTTTTGCATAAAAACAGAAACAGAACAATAGAAATCCTAGCAATAAGTTTCTTATAATTGATGAGTCTACTGCAGATAAGTCTTTTCAAATGACTCTACCAGAAAATGCCCAGACATTAGAGATTTGGCAATCATGCTGTCTGTTAAAAACAGAGCCTCTAAAATTTCGCGCATGGTTATCGTTTGTAAGAATCACACTGCAACTCAACTCTTCTCTAACTACAATGCACTTCCAATGGCGGATAAAGAGATAGATGTATTCCATGACATCCTAACGAACGTATTCTTGAGACTGTATAATTTGAATTGTAATTTTACTGTTGTTTTAAATATATTCTAGTGTTAGTCTAACCATGTGGTCATTTAGTTACGTTATCATTCATTGTATGCTGAATCAACATCGAAGGAGATACAGTCACCACCTGGGAGGAACAGGTAGGCAGAATTTTGATATTTCATTTGATATAACTTTTAAAGAAACTACCAAATAATTAAGTTAATTTTTTAACACTGGCCAAGCAGGGAAACCATCCTGACCAATGCACTGTCCTGGCAATGTTGCATTAAAGACCCTCTGGCATGCTGGAACTCCATACATGTTTTAATGTTTGCTGGAAGAGTATTCAGTAATTCTTATAAAACATCTTGTACAAATAATTAAGTATGTTCTTAAATCTAATCAACCTAATAAAAAGTATAGGCTAATCAAATGGTCATGGATGATTGCAGCCTAAACTTTTATTAAGAAATGCCACTGATATAAATGTGGATGTATGGCACTGGTTTCCTACACATTAAAATTTCCTCGAGTAAATTCATCAGTAAATCCCACAAAATACAGCTTTAATGCAGTCTGCCAGAGGAACCAGTAATTAAAATTGATATGAGGCTGATAATCAGTAAGTATTACGCCCTGCATGCACACACTGTTAGAGATTTAATCATTTGTCACATTGTATGTACAACTTGCCAAAAAAAGGGGGGGAGGAAGTTCTATACCTCCCATTCTACTGGAGCAATTGACGAAATTTAACTTGCATTTTCCATGTCTCGAAAGTGCGACTTAGGATACATATTAAATGTATTTATAGCATTATTCTACCATACGTACTTTGACAGAAAATCGGATTTTTTATGAAATAATGTACCAATTCTTTTCCGTATTTTGATTTTACAACTCAAATTAAGCCAAAGTGCCAAGTTTTGTAAAAATTGCACGAGTAGTTTTTAAAGAATTAGCTCCTCCATCATAATTGAATTTGGTACATTTATTAATATCTCTTTTTTATATTAAACTTATTTCATTCCTCCTTTCACATTTTGAAATTTAGGTTCATTTCAAATAAAATTTGCTCGTTTTTTATGATTTATTTTTAAAATTTGTATTTTAAAATAATTTTTATAAATTTTTAGAAAAAAATTTTGAATTATATCTATAAAAATTTTACATCATCTTACAGTAGATGTATTTCTAGGGGCTACATTATCAAGAACCGATTATGTAATACCGAAAGATAAACTAAGAAAACATACTTCACTTCAAGGGCGTAGGATCAACTTAAAAAGAGCAGACTTTCTAAATTTGTTACCTCATATTTATTCACAGTAAATATACCTAAATAAACTGCTATTAACTTAAAACAGAATAACACATAAATGCATCTATCTCGCACCCTTAACTATGAAGACCAATCTTATGCAATTCACATGTATATACACATGAACTTTCCCCACGACCTTCTTCCTCGTGAAGTCACTACAGATGCGTGCGCTTGCGATCCACCTGCGTCTGGGTACCGGCAATGACGTCGTCATATTTGCTTTCACCAGAGCCGTGCCTCCATAAACAAACATTATTATTGGACAACAGCTATTCTCGTAGCATATGTTAGGAAAATTTTACTCAACGTTTCCTCAGATAAACTATTTTTTATTCAAAATTACCTAAGATTTATGTGAATTTACATTTTGGCACGTTTTTTTGAAGTTTGGCACATTTTGTTATATGCGACAATTATGCCAATGTGGTTTACGCACTTTTTAAAAATTATATGAAAGAATGAAAAATGCACCTTTATTTTTCCATTCATGCACAGGAAAAGGGAAAGGAAAATGGGTTACCATCAATTAAGAGTTTTGCCTAGCGAATTATTTCCAGCCCAAACTGAAAAAAATGCACTGGGGAAAAAAAAAAAAAAAAAAACTGCCCAAACTTGGGGGGGGGGGAGGTTAAATTTTTAAATTTCTCCATAAATTTCTCGCCAAAAATTACAAAATTTAATATCCAGACATAATTTGAGTCGTAGAATCGAAATAAGGAAAAAAATTATTTATGTTATGAATTTTTATGTTATTTCAGAAAAAGTCCGATTCTGTGTCAATACCTAAGTTAGAATAATGCTTTATATCTAATATGTATCCTAATCTAATATGTATTCTAAGTTGCGCTTTTGGGACATGGAAAAAGGAAGTTAAATTTCGACAATTGGTCTAGTAGAATAGAAGATATAGAACTTTTTTGTGTGTGTGTGTGTGTATGTACCACACTAACAACTAAAGCACTTTTATACCATCATAAATTTCTTAAATGCTACATTCAGGACAACTTCTAACTATATGCAGAGTTTTCTTTGTTTCTGTACCTTTAGATACTCTGTATCTAGCAAGATGGTGAGAAGAAATTAGTTTGCCACAGATTTCACAGATGTTCACAATCATTCAACGGTTTTAAATGTCTTGTAGCATAGTGACCTGATACAGGTCACTATGCTACAAGACTGAACAGGTCACTATGCTTCACATTCCCATTCTCAGCTCCTTCCTTCACATTCCCATTCTCAGCTCCATATATAAAGTAGCTTATTCCTCCTGAAATCTATAGAAGAAATGATGAGCCCAAAACTCGGTAAATACTTGGCTTCATTGAAAAATGGTTCACTGCTTAATTTACATCAAACATTGCATGATAAAAAGTGTTTATTTATGTGTGTTCTATCACCCTTTATAATGTTGATGAAGAGTTTTTTGATTCACCTTGTACACATAATATATTTTATACATGATGAATTATTATGCATAGTAGATACAATACATAATTTGTCATAATGTAAAAATAAAATATCCAACAGAATACAGAAAAAGAAATTATTTAATAAGAAAATACTGAAATTGCTATTACCTGAAGAACAATAGGTAACTGTTCAGGTACACTATTATGGTTGTGTACTGATGACAACCAAACTTGGAATGCTGTGAGCTGCTCAGAAAAAAATGGACTATATGAATAATTCACATGAAGTGGGTCTTCTAAAATACCGGGTAGTTGTGCCAAACATAAATCAACAGCCAAATCCCATGCTTGCCTATTGACAGATACATAATTGCTAAGATTTATAGCCAGTTTAACACATTTTTAAAACATAATCTATAATAAAGCAATGTATAAGAATATATTACCAGCCATGTAAAAACAATGAAACACCTGCATTCTACAGAATGCCTGGCGTTTTTAGGCAAAGTATGAAATATCAGAAATATTATATACTTTACCTAGGCACTGTATATAATACCTAGGCATTTTATGGAATGACAAACGCGCTTTAGGCAAAGTATGAAAAAAAGGTCACGATAAGCTATTATTTAACGGCCCACCAGCGGCCGAGCGGTAAAGTCGCTGAACACTGGTAGTTCGGTCCGAGGTTTGAATCCCGCGAACGGGCTGGCTGCATGGGTGTTTTCGTGGTTTTCCCCATGTGTAACGTGTATACGAGCCAGTTTCCCTTAGAAAGTCCTCCACGAAAGGCATCCCTCCTCTTAGGCAGATAGCCCTTGTGTGCTTTGCCATAATTAAATACACCACACCTATTATTTAACCTTTTCACTGTCATGCCCGAAATAATCTCAGCCATAGCATTGGTGTTCCAGAATGTTATGCCTGAGTATGTCACGGGGCAATTTTATTTATTTATTTATTTATTTTTGAGGGCATCGTATTGTTATACAGTCAACAGTCGTTAATTCGTACACCCATAATCCAAAATGATCTATAATCCGGACCTCAAAGTTAACAAAATAAGTTCGCAAAGCGCCATCTATTCGTCAATATTGGACCTAAAACTTCGACACCATTTTCATATTTGTTCTTTCTTAGGAACATGTAAAAAGTTTCATTTCGATCTGTTAATTTATTCATTGTTTAACCACCCTTTATATCTAACGTGTTGTGGCTTTTTTCAGGTATGGATAAAATTGAGCAACGTGCAATTATCAAATTCTTTGTAAAGAAAGGTTTAAAGGCAATAGAAATTCATACCGAAATGGTCAATGTGTTGGGTAAATATGCTCCTTCAAAAACAATGGTTTGCAAGTGGGCTAGTTTATTCAAAAGTGGTCGTACCAGCCTTGAAGACGATCCGCGAGAGGGACGTCCAAAAACTGCATCAATACTGGAAATCATCGGAAAAATATAAGATATGGTATTGCAAGACTGTCGATTGACTGAAAGAGATTTAACAGAGGCTTTAGGCATTTCATTGGGCATAGTGAGCAATATTTTGAGTGTTAATTTGGGTTTCAAAAAACTCTTTGTGCAAAATGGGTGCCACATTCTCTAACGATGGAGCAAAAACACATTCGGATGCGACTTTGCCAGCAACATTTGGAGCGTTTTAAGAAGAATAAAAGCGACTTTATCCATCGATTTATCACAATGGATGAGACTTGGGTCTACCATCATGAGCCGGGTTCCTGAATCAAAACAGGAGGCTAAGGAGTGGTGTTGAACCCGGCTCTTCGGCGCCGAAGCGAGTTCATGTATGCAAAAATCAGCCAAGAAGTTGTTAGCATCAGTTTTTTGGGATGCAAAAGGAATGTTGTTTATAGATTACCTTCAAACTGGCAAAACAATTAATTCGGATTATTATTGTAACCTTTTGAATCAATTAGACGAAAAAATTCGTGAAAAAAGACCCGGATTACAGAAGAAGAAAATCATTTTCCACCAAGATAATGCACCTGTGTGCAAAGCTAAAAAAACAATTGCTAAAATAACTTAATTGAAGTACAAATTGTTGCAACATCCAGCCTTTTTGCCAGATTTAACTCCCTTTGACTTCTGGCTCTTCCCACACCTTAAACAATATCTCTGTGGAAAACGATTTTCTTCAAACGAAGAGGTAATAGCTGCCGTGGAGGGATATTTTGCAGAGCTGCCAAAAAACCACTACAGTCAAGAGATCCATAAATTAGAGTAGAGATTAGTCAAGAGATCCATAAATTCCAGCGATCTTAAAAAAAAGCTGGTATTACAGCTTTTTTTTAAGATCGCTGGAATAAGTGTATTGAAGTAGAGGGAAACTACGTTGAAAAATAAAGTCATTTTTACAAATAAAAATTGGTTTCTTCATTTCCGTTCCGCGAACTTATTGATTACAGCTTTTTTTAAAGCTGTAATTTGTATTTTTGGAAATAAAATTCCGAACTTTTTTATATCTTTAATAAAATTCAGTTATTATTTAAAAGCACATTCTTACCCACTTTCTTTTTTTTCTTTTTTTTTTTAGAATGATAATTGTATTTTGGTCACCAGTAAAACTGACAAGTACCAAATTTCCTTTCAGAAATGAAGTATTTTAAATATAAAAAACTAATCATGGTGTTGTATTTTAACTGCATATTTCTGCATGTTACTGAACTCAGTTTTTAGTGCAAAAAAGAAATTAAAAATGACTTTAAATTGAAAAGCAACAAAATTTATCTTACCACATAGGATGGTGGTAGGTTGATGGTAAAGGTGGACTTGATACTGGAGTGCAATTGTAATACCTCATTATTCTCTCTGCTAATAAAAAATTTCTAAATAGACTAGCAACCAATAAATCTTGACGGAAAAGACGCTGAAATGTTTCTTTAGGAAGAACATTCCACGCTATTGTGTCAGTTATAGCAGTAAAAATCCAATTTAATTCGCCTAACATTGTTCTTCTGTCTGATACCTGACCAGGAATTCTAAAAAGAAAATAAAAATATATACCAATAATTTTTCTTCCAAGTTTAATAACATTTATTTCAGTTCCTACACACTCAGAAAACAACATTACTGCACAGCAAAAAATAAAATAATATTTTTTTTTTATTTATATATTATAAATGTTAGTAATTATTAAGAAGAATAGTTTATTATATGCCACTATTAATTTTTAATTCTAACAAAAACTCATTAAAGCTAACTGCATTAAGAAATTTATTCTGCAAGATGATTATATTTGCATTACATAGATAAACTGCCTCAAAGGCAATTTTTTCTACTAAAATATAAAAAAAAAGGCATTACTTCCTGAAAATATTGGTCCTACACCTATTCAAAATACAGTAGTTCTTAAAGAGTGAAATATTTTAGCAAACGTAAGGTTTGAAAGAAAACTGAAAAATTACCACTTACTGATCTATCAAATCCATAGTGATGTCTGGTAATAATTTATTTTTACTCTGTAGAACAAACCTAGGAAAATACAGAAACAGTATAAATAAAGAAGATTAGGAATAAAACAAATGTTTTCTTAAAAGGATGGAAACATACAGGATTTCCTATCAAGCCTATATTAGATCTCAAAGTATATAAAAAATGACCCAAAACCATACCTGGACAACTCACAGTTTTCAAGAAAAATGTGAAAGAAAAAATATGTTACATCTCGAATATGGAAAATAAGTTTTATAGGAAACATGAACATTGGTTCACATATATGATAATATGTTTACATGAGAAGATGTTAAAATGGCCCTCATCAAAAATACCCAAGACATTCTCACATGTGCCATGGAATGGTGACTAATAGAATCCAACAAAGTGGTGCCCACAAAAATGAATGCAGTATGACATAAAATAACCAAGTCTCTTTTGCTAATGAGTGAAGTCTGATTTATTCGTTTCTTTACATAACCTCATATGAAAATGTTTAAACACTGGATCTCATTGTCATGGAAGCCAGAAAAGTGGACCTTTATGCTCAATCCACTGACCACAGTATTCTATGTCCAGCTTAAATATGTCAATGTCTCCCATCATGCTGGTATTGGAATAAGTACTGAAAATGATTCACTAAATGCAATAGCCATTCAAGAAACACATCACTGAAAGTCACCTGGAAGCAGAACTTAGCAGACTCCTGTAATGGACATAACATTCTGTACTCAGTACTTTTACTTCCATTACACTGAATGCCTACTGCTCAACTCCAGATTTGTTTGAACCTGTAGAATCAACTTCCTGTGAAAGTGTAAAATGCCACAGGTTCAGCCTTGTCAAGAAATTTGTTAATATTTCTTAATTTGTCATCTAGCTTGCAGATGCTGGCATCAGGATAAATAAGTGATGGATAGCAAATGGGCATACTCCCTCACAGTTACCATTACACTGACATATGTTGCAATATCTGCAAGAAGAAAACATTATCACTATGCAAAGATTTTCTGCTTCCAGGTGACACGTCATCCTCTGGAAAGCATTATGATGGGAAAAATTAGTATTTATTCTAGTTTAATCTTTTGTTTCCAATAAACTCAGCTTTCTTTGAGATGACAGACACAACATAATATTTTTTCTTTTGCATTTTTTTTTTGGGAGGGGGGAAGGCCACAAAAGAGTGGTTCTTGAGTCATTTTTATGGAGTCTGATTGAGGAATCTCATCTTGCAGAATTTATGGTCTTGATGAGATATCCTATATAATTTGCATAAAACACAGTTTAATTTCCCCATCTCAAAAAGGGGCAAAAATAATAATCACAATAATAAGTTTGAAATCAGGATGTTCGATATTCAGAATGACCTGATATCCAGATCTCCAGACCATAGGCCAAAAAGTAAAGAAGTAAATGAAAATTCCCCTCCCCTCATGAAATTTACAAAGGATACAATACTGAACAAAAAGAAGCAGATGTGATGTAAATGCAGTTTTTCTTCTCATTAACTGAGATTCCTGCATGTCACTTTAAAACAACTGTGCTGTTGCCATGGTAGCCAATAATAATACATCAACCGGCACTGTATTAATGTTGACCAGATCACATATTCAGCAATTTATTGGTTGTGAGAGGGGGGCAGAGGTGACGCAATATATTTTGTCACCCAGTATAGTCTCTGCTGGTCCTAAATTCTGCTACCCAGTGCCTCTCCTAAATTCTAAGAATTTTGCCATCCCTATTTTTTTAAGCTTTGTGCTGCTCTGAATTCTAAAATTTTCATCGCCCATAAATTCTGCCATCCAAGTGCAGCCACATTGGACCTCATGGAAGTAACTATTCTTCTACTGCACTACAACAAAAAGTGAAACTCTAGCGTTGCCATGTCTACATGTCATCTTACTAGATTTTAGCTAATGATCTAAAATTTGAAAATCTCCAAAAACCCTACAATTCTAAGATCTCAGATGCTGTATTGTATACATCTCACACAGAATACAGAATAAAAAAATTGCAGTCTTTTATTTAAATATATAATTCAATCTTATAACTATTCATGAAAATACTACAATATCAATTCCACCCAAACATTTGTTAAAATGTTTTTTCTTTAGCATTTGCAAAATGTGTAGTTATATAACCCTCCCCCTCCAACTATTTTCCACAAACTGTTAACTGCCCTTTCATAGAAAAGCCTGCTATCCTCTTCTGCTAAAGCAGATCATGCAACTGAACGAATGACATATTAATGTAAAATTTGTATCAAAATCAGAGAAGATTACACCCCATATTATGGCTCTTTGTTTTGTTTGTATAATAGGTAAAATTTTTTCCTAAATGTATTTCACGTGACTTAAATACTCAGTAGTGTTAGACTTAAAACCCTGTATAAAACTTCAGGGAAGCGATAGTTTGATTCAGATTCCCTAAATACAAACTCAACTGATTGACAAATTATGAACTAAATGATCAGCATTGCCATATCTATCTAAAGAAGTGATTAACAAATCTTAAATTTAAAAAAAAATATGTAAAAAAGTTTATTCCAATTCTAACTACAGAGGTACCCTGATATACATTCACTTTGAAATACATCTAATTTGATACATGTCTTGTTTGGATAAGAATTTGTTGTTGTTTTGTGTGTGTGTATTTGGAATATAGCTCAAGTTCAGAGTGTCATGACTGTGTGCACACTATCCTTTCTTACAGCTTTTCGAACAATACTACAACCGCTTGTGTGTCAGTACGGTTGTTGTTAGCATTCATTTAAATGCAGCTCTGAATTTTCGAGTGATTTTGCGTTTTTTTGCATAAATGTTTTGTAAATTCATTAAACAAGAGTTTTAAGAAAGCTAATGGTCAAATAATGAAGAAAATGGTTAAGAGCACCATGGATGTGAAAAAAAGACACTGTTGAAAAGTATGAAGATGGTATGCAGGCTCAGCTGTTGCATGCCATATGCTGAGTACAATGGTGTCTGCGACTGTTATTAAATAAAGATGTTATTAAATAAACTAACGGTAGAAACAATGGCTAGAGATATTAGAGCCTGCTAAAAATCTAAATTTGCTCTGGATAGCAGAAAAATACTTATGTATTATGCATTATATGTATTTTATTTCATGTGCAAAGCTTCATTTATATTGTTGCATGCATACAGGTTTGTAATGAATTGAATGCACAAGTCCAATGAAATGTAAATAAAATTTATTCTTATGACACCAAATAAAACAAAATGCTGAAATTTCTTCAGAGATATTCGTACAATATTGCACTATCTCACAGTAGCTATATTTTAAACTACTAAAACGTTTAAGAGAACTCAATTCAAAAAAATAGAGAAATCTAATCCAATCTCACCACGAATTCGCTACAATCAATAACAGTACTAAATAAATAAACTGAATTGAGATGTTTTTCTTCAGCTTTTAAAAGCCTTTTAATCTGCACGAGAACTTCTGGCATTTTTTCGATAGCAAAAGAGTACAATTACGAGATATCTATAATTAAAATGTTAAATGCTCCTGTATTTTAATTTTTCTGGCGTAATTTTCTCTTCAAATAAGTCTTGTGCTGCATTGCATAGGAATATGAAAAAATTACAAATTCTACTAAAAAATAGCTAAATAAATACAAAATCCATAACAATATAAAATATATAGTTTACCCATTGCATTTGTATTTTAGTACTAAGCAGTGTGAAACAACCAATGGGAATTTTTTATAAGAAAGAATTAATTATTTTTCCTTTATTTCTCATTGAAAAGTTCATTTGGTTAAGTCCAAGGATATGGAACAAATTAATGATACATAACAAGGTACCACTGTATATGAAATCAATAAAAAATTTTTGTTCTTTTTCAGTTTCACCACATGTTAACAATTTTACATGATAAATTACCTAACAAAAATATAATGTTTTAAAACCTTTCCTTGAAATGCATAATCCCTTCCAAACCACACATTTATAATTAATAATTTTTTGACAAACTATGATTGCCTATGACTTGTACATTCTAGTTTACCACACATTTAAGGTCACATCTGCTTAATATAGTTTTTGTTAGAACACAAGAAAAAGCAGAGGTGAAGACAAAAAAGTAATATAAATGTATTTTTGCTTAAAGATGGATGATTAACAGATAACAATTTTTTAATTAAAATTTTCAAAAATTTTAGAGAACACTATGAAAAGCACAAGAAACATATTCAGTTCAAGATAATGAAGTTTATTACATCTCATTTTCATGTGCCTGGAAATTTGTCACAGGCATATAAAATAACATTAAGTATAGAGGAAAATGGATGAGGACAAAAAGTTTGTTTGAACGTAGGAGTTTGTTATAAACTGGGTGTTCAGTAAGAAAGTTTAACAGGCTACTCTTTAAAATTAATATGATACTTACAGAAAAACAAATTAACTGACTACCTGCTAAACAAATTTAAATCAATCAAAACATAACTTTTAGTATTATGTTGAATCTGCTACAATACACTTATTTTTTGGAAGGCAGGATATTTAAATGGCTATAGCATACAATTTTGAGAAGAGCAAGTTAAGAAAATAACTAAAATTTATGTTGAAAATAAAACTAAAACCAACTTTCTTTAATAGTTCAAATTCACAATAATATGTACTTTCTAAATACAGCAAGATCTTGGTTTTTGATACATATTATAAAAGGGATTTTCATATTACCATTTTAGGGCTATGTTTACAGGTGTAGTAAGGCACGAAGTAAAAAGGTCAGCAGGCAAATCAGGATTCATGGGTAAAATCTGTGTTGCACTGCATGCAGCAAGTTGAATACATGAACTATAAGACGGCAAAGGTGGTCCATCATAAGGTGTTTTGCTGTTATTTATTAAAAGCTAAGAAAGATAGAAAAAGTTACTATTTAATTTAATGAATAGAAGTCACTGAACATATAAAAAGCTGGTAATTACATGCTCATTTATTACCTAAATGCAAAATATCACACCAATTTCTCAGCAGTTTAAAATATAGAGAAAAAAAGTTAGCTGTAACACTGCATATAACACAATACAAAGTCCAAAATCCTGATGTTCAATATCCAGAATGATCTAATTCCAAACCTCCCAACCACTAGCAATTTTTTTAGTTTTTTTTTTTTTTTTTTGTTTTTTTTTTTTTTTTTTTTTTTTTTTTTTTTTTTTTTTTTTTTTTTTTGTTTTTTTTTTTTTTTTTTTTTTTTTTTTTTTTTTTTTTTTTTTTTTTTATTTTTTTTTTTTTTTTTTTTTTTTTTTTTTTTTTTTTTTTTTTTTTTTTTTTTTTTTTTTTTCTAGAGTTGCTTACATGCTTAATGCTTCAAACATTCACAGTAGACATTTTTTCATAAAAGCATGCAGAGAGTCCTTATTCTTAATTTCACTTTGACCCCCCCTCCCCATGAATTCCAATTTCACTTTGATTCTCCAAATAAAACATCCCCATGCTGAAGAAATACAATCACTTATTAACAAAAATCCGTATGATCAATAATTTGGCTTCCTAACTTATTGCTGGGCAGACATCTCAAACACAAAATATTTTGTCAAAGGTATCCCTCATTTTAGGGATACTTAACATCATATAAACTTTAGGCCAAATTGGAGTATCATTTATTATTATTATTATTATTATTATTATTATTATTATTATTATTATTATTATTATTTTCATCACCACATAATTATTAACTTAAAGAAGGTTGAGAAATTACTCACACAGCCATATCTAAAACAATTTTTTATTTTAAATATCAGTAACTGAATACCAAACAGCATGGTAACCTTTTAACAAATTTAAGCCAACTGCATTGCAAAGTGTGTAAATAGATATTGTAAATGATATTAGTAGGCCATTTAAAGTGGTTTTAATTAAGAATAACTTATCTGTTATTTGGACAAGCTGCCAAGGAGTATTTTTGGGTTATGCTGTGTGGCAGACCATCATCAGATACGCAACAGATGTGTTTACCCTTATTTTAACTAGAAACTGTTTATTATTTAAAAATATGCCAAAATTGCATGATAAATGCATAATGGAAAATTATCTCTTAAGTATATGAGAGAATTTATTTCATCAGGATTCATATAAGCCTTAAGCATATGCAGAAAAAAGATACAATTATAATAAATAACAAAGCTAATGTAATTCCAGCTTAATTTCCTTGAGGTGATAGAAGTAAGATAAATGTTAGAGGAACAATGTACTTTTAGCCAGCAATTTCATGATACATCACTAATAGTGTATAGTGAATGCCTGCTGAGCTTTATGATGACAGCCATGAATTTGAAGGTTTTTGGATATCACAAACAAAAAATAAAATTTTCAAATGCATGGAATTTGTGAAAAAATGTAGAGAAGGGGTAACAAATAAAAATGCTATAACAGAAGTATTCCATTGCAATGACAATGCTCCACTAATCAATAAACTAATGAACAGCAAAATCTGTAATATGGTACCAAACCCAGAAAATTTTGCTATTGTTCGTGAAGGAAATGACAGAAAGGTTGCTGAGAATGAAAGAATTTCAGCTCACAATTTAGTGGGAATTCTCGACACATTAAGTACATGATTTGAACTTTGTAACTATGCAAGAATTATATGTATCTATAAAATTAAAGAGAAAGTATTAGTACAAAATATGAAGCAACTTAATAATTTATATTGAAAGAAATGTGTAATAAAGCAAACAAATGAACAGCTTTCTTCTCCCCTCCCTCGAGTAAATTTTGAATTCTTAAGGTCATAAATGCTTCACTATTTCATAAACAACTATTTCAGATTTTTAATTTTATAATTTTTACATGTAATCTTACTAGACTTAAGACTCATGAGCTAAAATTCAGAAATGCTGAAGTCCTGAAGAGTCTAGTTACCAAGCTTTTCACTGTAACATTGCATAAGTTGAATCAGTAACACTGCAGTAAGTTAAATACATGAATGCTAATTTGAAAGAAATGGCCTATCACTGGCATTTCTTTGTTATTTGTTAAAAGTTAATTTATCATCATAGCTGCTATAAAAAGGCCTCCATTTAACCTTATTAATCATTTCAACAATAAAATCAGCTTTTAATCAAAAATATAAAATTAAAAAGTTGTTTTATATTTTAGAATTACAATTTTAATAAGCAAAATAAAATATTAATAATAAAATAGTGATTTACAAGAAATTTTTAACAAATTTAAATAATAAAATGCAATGCTCACTTCAAATTCCCTTTCATGTTGCTTAGCAAACACTTCAAAAGAATCAACTATGAGTCCAGCACAAGAACAGTCATATACATAAATTGAAGGAGCACCCATCCACTGCTGAAGATCATATATGGAAAGTGGAATATATTGTGTATATGTCTAAAAGTATAAAAGTATATTAAAATCTTGATAGTAAGGAATATAGAAACGTAAGTAAATTATTCAAAACTGAAATACTGTACTTTTTACAATGCAACCAAATTATGTGATACAGTAGAAACCCTTAAAACCTTGTTTTCATTAGGCGGTACAAACTCATTGCATATGCGGTTCTCCAATCAGTGAACTAACTGACTTCGTTCACTGATTGACTTCACATTGACTTCGTTCCCTTACCACATCAACGTCTGTGATGTGGTAAGGGAAGACGGACAGTGTGGAGTTGAAACATTTCTAGCTTTGGGGTAAATGGTAAAAAAGGAACAATGAGACAGTGTCAATCAAAAATAATAGTGGTAGAAGCAGCAATGGGCTTCAAAGAAAGAATATTTTGTGAAAAAGATACTTCTTTGTGAATTAAAACAGCAATTGACTGAATTTAGTTTAAAAAAAAAAATAAGAGAGACAGAGAACTGCATTCACAGTGCTAGTCTGAATAGAGCAGTGGTCAGTGTTAAGAAATTCAAGTATAAAAATATAATTCAAGCCCATGAAATAGCAAAATTTTCCCTAATAATTATTTCCCACCCCTAATTTTGTATAATCATTAACTTTTAAAGAAAATGAACTTTAGACTATCTCAAATTGCTATAGCAAATGAGATATGGCATTAACAGAATTTTTTTTTTCCTTTTATGAAATGGGTAAATTTTATGAAAGATAATAATCTGCTTTAGAAAGTATATTGGATAGCCTTTCAAATACTGTTTCATTAAAAAGTATATTAAATAGTATTTTTCTGTTTATAAATATAGTTTTTAGTTCCATATATTTGTAGGCAGATCTTTTATTTTTGAATACATTTTTTAGCAGTCAATTTAACTTCAACAGAAATGCTGCTTTGAAATTCTTTTTTGTACAAAATGTATTAGAAGCTCAAAAACAAAGCTATGATGAATTTATTTTAGATGATAGCACATTTAAATGGAACAAAAAAATCAGTTTAAAAACTCGTTTACTTAGTTCTCTATGTAAGCCAAATTTGAAGAAGCCGTATCTGTGAGCTACACTTCATAAGCAGAAATAAAGATTTACAAAAAAAATTGAACTTAAGTATCTTAAGAGTCCAAATCCTGTAACTTAAATATAGAGACCTCTGGAGTTAGTGAACGTAATTGGTCACCGAACTTCCATAAGCACAAATCCAATACAGTTGTCTGAACTGCAAGTCTGTCTTCGAATGCATTTCTCTCAATGATGCCACGTGTTTGTACCACACAGTAATGAGGTTTAAGGTTTTAAAGAGCTACAGAGTTAGGAATTTCTGAAAAAGTTTCTAATCCTCTAGCCCAAGAAGATTTATTAAGAATAGCTTGTAACATGAATACATACATATACATCGATTTTTCAAACAATTTCATGAGTGAAGCAAAATTTATACATTTTAATTTATAAAAAATTAATTTATGTTTCACTATATTATTTTGTATAGCTGTCTATCATTTTAATCTCAACAACGTTTTTGGTGGGGCAAGGCTTAGTTTCTGGGAACTGCTACGTTTTATATATATTCATTTCCTTCTCTTGTTATATCAAACAGCTGACAACAATGCAGTTAAAGATGTGAATACCTTTCTTCTTTTGCAATTTTAATTGTTGGTATATACCGTTTTTCACCTTTTCATGCAATTTTTCACCATTTATTTATTTATTTTTTAAGGTTTCTTCTGAGTTGGATATGGATTTAAATGTTTCACTTTTTGTTTCATATTATGTTTGTATATATATATAAACTTAAAGCATCTAAAGTTAAAATTAAACTTGAATCGAAATAAGGAAATTCCCCAACAATATTAATAATTGCAACCGTGGACAAGAGGTTTAACACTGTACCAAAACAAATCAAAATTAAAATAAGAATTCATCAGTAGAATAAAGCCAAAAAATAAAATGCAAAAAGGGGGGAAAATAAATAAATAAATGCTATAAAAAATAAAAATTAATCTCCTTTTTCTGAAACCCTAATTAGGAACTCATCAGGAGAAAATGAATTAAAGTTTCATAAAAGTCGATTAATATGTTTCAAATACATGTTTCGTTTTTCCGATTCATTTCAGATCAAAAACTGAAAAAAAAAATCAATTAAATTTTCATTTAACACATTAAAATTCACTTTAAACCAAAAAAAAAAAAAATTATCTCAAATGTATCCAGAATTTTCCCCACATGCATTCGAAACACTTGGAAAAAAGAATAAAACATTACATTATGCTAAATTGACTACTCAAAAAAATAATAATAAATAAATAAAACTTCATATTATGCAAATTGACCACTAAAAAAAACTGTCAAATAACATTAAATGTAAATCTTACATTCAAAAGCAATAACAAATTAAAAAGCAAAACTGAAATACTTTTAAATCAAATTGCCATTTAAACATCACTCAAAAACTGGGTGAACCCTGATTATGCGATCCTAAACTTTTAAAACCAAGAAAACAAAAAACTTTTCAGAAGAGATTTCTATAAATAATATAAAATTTAATCACAGCCTTAAACAGCTAAAAACTGAAAAACCTATTTGAAACAAAAATTTAAAAAAATGTAAAGTTACTGAATTCTAAAGACGACCATCTTTTCCAAACTGTGTTCCTTGCAAAAGAAAGTTGAATCCAAGGCTACTCTGGAGAAGCAAAAATAAGTACTTCTTGGAAAAAGTATGCAATAAGGTACCAAGTGTCCAATAGCAGAAAAAAATATCTTTACATGTGTTCAAAATGTCCTATCCTCAGGGCTTGATGTAGACTTAATGAGGCCCTAAACTATTTGAATATTTGGGGCCCTTTATAAAGGGTATCATATAATTTTGGCCGGCTCCCAAGAACATGGGAGCCCTAAATTATACCTTGGGCAGCTTATACGCAGATCCGGCACTGCCTATCCTGTTAAACTTTGTGGGGTGCTGCAAAACATTGGGTACGATCTGTAGAAATTATTACCGATGAGGAGAATGAACAGCATACACATGTGTGTGTTTAAAACTAAATTAGTACAAAGAGAGAATTTAGTAGAATCATTCAATAACAATCACGGCTGGAGTGGCAAGGATGGTGATAGTAGATAACCGGAATTTTTTTGAAGAATCGAAAAATCTCTTGAATCCAAATATCTCTTTATTACTTGTCAACTCTTAACAACATATCTTACAGCATAACAGATTCCGTTACACAGCACAGCACTGGCAGCAATCTGCACCCCACAATTTTAAAATAGTGCAATTAAATTTTTTAAACAATGATATATATAAAAATATAGCTAAGTGAGAGACATGGGCTATTCAGGGATAAGCAAGCATCAAAAGAGAATGGGCACAATGCAGCTGATGTATTTAAACTTGGAAATTTTTTGCATGATTTCTAAATGATGATTGATAAAAGATATTTGCCTGGAAATAAATGCTGTGTCAGTGCAGATGTGAAGGGGTTGTACTAATATTCAGATCAGAAATTTAAAGGGTTTATTACCAATTAAAGGTTTTTCATATTTTATATTTTCTAAATGTATCTTATAACATATCTCATTTCATGGCACAGCACAAAGGGAGCAAACTGCACCCGAGAATTTTAAACTACAGAGTTACATTTAAAAAAAAAAAATGGATAAATATAGCTGAGAGATGTAGCCTACTCAGGCATAAGAGGAAAAATAAAGTGAATACAAAGCAGCTGAAGTATTTATAGAAACTGAGTGCTATGAATGATGACTTGATAAAAGCCCACAGCAATGTGGATCTCTGCGGGGGAAAGAAATGCTGCATCAGTGCAGATGTGAAGGGGTTTTTATTAGCATTCAGATAAGTTTGTTTGGTTTATTTAATTACAGCAAAGCACACTAGGGCTATCTGCCTAAGGGAAGGGATGCCTTAGCGGAGGACTTTCTAAGGGAAACTGGCTTGTATACACGTTACACATGGGGAAAACCATGAAAACGCCCATGCAGCCAGCCCGTTTGCGGGATTCGAACCTCGGACCGAACTACCAGAGTTCAACGACTTTACTGCTCGGCCGCTGGTGGGCCAGCATTCAGATAAGAAATTTAAAGGTTTACTTCCAACTAAGAGCCTTTCATGTTTTATAAATTGCATACATACATTGCAACAACTGAAAATTTAGCAGATCAACAGATTTGAAGTAGACAACATTTTGTCGCTTAATGTTTTAAATATTAGATTAGAACTTGAAGTACGCATATTAACAGATGTTGCAAGTGAGAAACTGCTAGATGCAAGAGAATGGTTAATAGAGAGAAATTTGGCATTCATGAAAAAAAAAAAAAAAATGGAGTTAATGGAAAGAACTGTAAAAAATTTTGGCAAGTTGTCCAATTATTCAACAAATTATATATTTATAAATTAGATCTCCAATGAGATATTCTGACCCAAAAACTGAACATGAATTTTTGTGCAGAGAATAAATAATATTTCATAATCTCAGCAGTATCTGACTATCAGTATTTAACGGTGTTCTATTTTCTGCTATTATACCAATCATATAAATAAATGAACTTTCAATAACTGGTCCATGAAAGCAAGGTCAAACAGATTTAATCAGTTTTGTCAATATAGACTATTTTGGTTCCCCATCCTCTTTTAGCCTAAATACTTCAGACAAAACTTCATAATATGAGTTTTTTCTGCTTCTGTACAACACAAACAGAAAAAAACTTTTCTATGTAAGATATATTTCCTATCTGAGCAAAGTCAATTTGCTCATAAAAGAAATTTCTCTCTCACTGAAATTTACATAGTCTGAGAGTTTATGTTTTATAATACCTGAATGATATATTTGTTCTAAAACTAAATTTAAGAAAAATAATATGTCTACATTTCATAATTCCGGAATTTAGAAAGTAAAAAATCTGGAATTCCAGCTGTTTCCAGACCACAATTACACCTGAACTATGAAGTAGATACTGAGAGTTAGTTATTATGTTTAGTAA